CTAGCATGCGCTCCTCCTGTCCTCCTGTGCGCCCCGTTCTTGAACTTCCGAGCCGTTCTCCGCCCTCGGAAGTCCGGCCGCAAGCCTGAGAGCCTCTGGTCAGGATGCCGTGGATGATGAGATGGAGGACGAAGAGGCCTGGACCCTGCTCCGATCTGTTCACCAAAAGAACGTTTTTGGGTGTCTGCTGCGGGTTCACGCATCGGGAGTTGTGCCCGGAGGAAGAGGAGGAAGCACCAGAGGTGGATCGGACAGTCGCCGAGAATCCAGACCTGCTCTGCATCGAGGATGCTTCGCCGCTTCGCCTGACATGCCTGCAAGATCCCGCAAGTGTAGTTCAGGAACATCATCGGTGCACGGTACTGAAGAAGATTGAAGAGTGATAGGAGACGGAGCCGTGTGACTACATGGTGCGGCCAAACACGGAGATACTTCTGTGCAAGGCGCGCCTGAAGAGTAGTCGCATCGCAGCGAGTTTTGTGTCCAGTCCAGGCGCCTGACTGTCGGTAGCTTATGTAGCTTTCGCTGGGATGGGAAGTGACAGAAGACCAAGTACCTGAGTGTAACCCCCCTTTAGCACTTTAGCCTCCAAGGCTTGGAGCGCCTTCTAGGGCCGATGGCTGCAGCAGTCTTGGGCCATCGCGCCAGCTTTGACCGCGAGCCCTTCGGCAAATCGAAAAAAGGGGCAAAGTCTCGATGTTCACTCCCAGTTGTCGCCCAATGTTCACTGGTTCACGGTGCATTTGCAGACGCATGTCGGATGGTACTACGGATGCTTATGGGCGGCTATGGCATAGGGCAATATGATACGCCCAGGATCTCCCAGGAGGTGAGCGGTGACCTGCAGCGTGAAGTTGCACGACGCCGTGCGGAGCTCAACCGAGCACGCTGGTCACAGGCCCGCGGATGCCCTGCGGCTTTGCTTTTCCCTGTGCTTTTTCCCTGGCAACCTCAACCCGAAGCCCGCAGGACAAGGGCAAGCTCGCTGTCCGGCAGCCGCTACCGACAGCCAGCGAGAGGCAGCTTGCATTCAATGCGGAGGCCGTCGGAGATGGCGTGTGGGATATGATGTGATGAAAGGACTCCAACATTAAATATGGGTGTGTGATGGAAAGTCTCCAATATGTAATGGGAGCGTATTAATACGTATTAATGAAGGCTCTGAGAAGCATCCTGGACCACATCTCTGCCCACACCAGCAAGATGCGGCTCGGAGAAAATGTCTCTCTGACCTTGACAAGAGCAGTTGCGTCTCTGTGTCTCTGTGTTGCGAGTCCTCGTGAGAGCAGAGGCATCGCATGGCCTCCGACTTCGGGTCCGACTCCGAGGACGGATGCGGACCTTGGGATTTTTGGTGTCCAAGTCCAGCTCCTCTCACATTTTCTCAGAGTTTCTAAGCGAGTTCTTGGTGGACACAGGACAACTCAGCGCTAGGCTCCTGCATCTCCTCGGTGGTGCCACTGCCCGCGACGGGAGCCCAGAATTTCGGAGAACCCGAGTTGGGCTCTCCCGAAAAAGGCATTTTCGAAAAGGGCTCCCCTTCAAGGCCTCTAAACAGTCCACTTACAAGTAGGGAAGCTGCAGCTCTTAGGCTGGGGCCCATCAAAGTGCAGGGGCGCTTAGATGGGATGCTGGGCCCTGCTGGGCGAAGCATCCCGCATTTCTGGAGTCAGTGGCTGCAGAGAGAACGCACGCAGTCAAGCTGAGGCCAGACAATGCAGATAGAGGCACATGGTTCAATGTTCTTTCGCTCTTTTCGCTCTTGTCCAAACTCCACACTCCGTTGCAGGTGAAGGGACTGATGACACCAGCGAGGTCTGCAGAGCTGGCAGACATCGTTGAGCATGGAAACTGACAACATGAAAATGAAGCCGTGCTGAGCGGATTCACACAATCTTGCGAGAACACGCGTTTTGTTCAGTCTCGCTCTTCCTCGAGCTTGTCATCGCAGACAACAAGCTCCTTGACACAGTCGCCACCTCTGTAAGAGCGCGCGAGGTGCAACTTAAGCCGTGCTGTACTTGATGAGCATGCTTCCGCACAGAGGCAGTCTTTCACGGGGCTCAACCCTGCGTTGGGCATAAGTCCGTGACCCAGAGCTTCAGGACGTGGCAGCGAATGAATTCTCAAAGCTTCCGAGGTGAGAGAAGGAGGAGTTCACTTCTAGAGGAGGAAGAGGAGCGAAATTTGGGAAATTTGGTGGGCAATTTCTCCCACAGAGCAGCTCCCCGCAGCTTTTGGAGTGCAAAGTTGACGGCGCCGTATACTTCTTTTGTAGTTACGCACTCCGTCGATATTGCCAGCTTCTTGTCAGGCCTATTTGTGGGGCATAATTCGGTATAATGTGACGTTATGTCATATAGTGGCAGAATCGCTTCTGCAATGCCAGGAAGTTGACATCGAGGAGAATCCGCCGGCACGCCGAAGAGCCAGTGCCGCACTTGGACACACTCTTCGCTGCCTGTCACATCACCCCTCACCTATTCTAACCCTACAGTAAGCCCTCTAGATAAACGCTGAATTCCGAACCCTGCAAACAACTACAAGGCCCTACAAGGCCCTACAATCTTCGCTGAAAAAGGGGGCGCGCTGAGGCTTGCACTGGGCAGAGCTGCGGCAGTCGGCCAAGATCATGTGAGCCCAGCCTGAGATCCTGAGAGCCCATCCCGCGTGTCATCTTCTGTGTGGGGATGTCCTTTTCTCCGTTTTTCTCCATGACTCTCCTCCCTTTCGCTGCCGCAGCTTTGTGGCAGACTGCAGTGAAATCCGTGCGGCAGGCTCATGGCCAGTCGCTTTCGAAAAGTGAGCCGGATAGCTGCAGCTTTTGCAGTGCCTCGAACAGTGCCAGAGGAGGCAAGACGCAGAGTGCAGAGTCATGCAGACTCTAAGTTGTAAAGGTTCTGCATGGTCGCACGCTGTCGGCAGTATGGCTTTCTCATGCATCAGGTCCCGCAGGATGTCGCAGACCCTGATGTCGACATGCTGGCAGCCCCTCAGGCAAGCATTTCTTGTCGCGTGACACCACTCGAGTCACTAGAGACCTCCTCTCGTGTCCTGGTGACTGCCGGACAGATTCGGGCCATGCCTGCCGAGGAGGAGGCTGTAGAGGCCATTTGCTCCCCCATCTCCCAAACAGTCGCTGCGCATCCAACAAACTTAGAAGGCGGATAGTTGAGACTCTGTTGTTTGGGACTGAGAGGTGAAGGCCGCAGCCGGTCCCTAACAACTTGGCAAGTGCAGTGTATCGGGATGTTCGAGAAGTGTGGGATGAATGGGGGGGTGTTTGAGGCATTGACCCGGGATGTCGCGTCTCAAGTCATTGGATTCTTCATAGTTCGGCTTTGTTTGTGCATCGTGAATGCTGGATATCACAGTGGTTATCAGTAGTTCATAGGGTTGATCTCCCGCATGCCGCTCTTTCAATCTCCCTGAGCAGAAGAGTTTGTATCTTCAAGCTGGACAAGAATTCGTGAGCGTGCAGGTAGCCAGCACGGTTCATTTCTCGGACGGCACTGTCGAACCTCAGCGCACCGACAAGCGCTGGTTCCCAAGATCTGAGAGAAAGAGCCTGCTGCTGCAAGGTGCTGCAGTTGTGTGATTGTTTGTCTCTCTCTCTCTCTCTGTTTTTGTTTGTTTGTTTGTTTGTTCTTTTTTTTTTTTTTGTGTGTGTGTGTGTGTGCGTATGTGTGTGTGTGTGTGTCCGTTTGTATGCCCTGGCCTTTTGCTATTCAAAAGCATGTCGACATTCAGGCCTTAGGAGTGTAATTGCTCAAAGCATTTCATTATCTGCAGTTTGCATGTTGCGGCTGGCTGCGTGTACGGTGGCTGTGATCTGTTAATGTCTGTGAGTTGTCTGTGTGAGCGCGTGACATGTCAGGAGTTGCTGTAGGCGCCCATATGATTCGTGGTTCCCGTTCGTACTCTTCGAGACAGAAGTTTTACTCAATTTCGTCAGTGTTCTTTGGATTTGCGAACGTGACAATGGGGTGAGGTCTAATGTGGCGGCCTCCCACCCCGCATCCTGTCCAGTCGGCGGAGGCGCAAATTGTTCTGCATGCCACCTCCAACGACCAGTGCTCCCGCCGCAGGCAGCGCGGCGCACGAACCCCGCAGTTCAGCGTGCCTACCAGGAACGGCTGGGCTTGGAGGCGCCAAGAAGTGGTGAGCCGTGTTGAGCCATGTGGAGCCATGTGGAGCCATGTGGAGTGCCATGTGGAGCCATGTGTCCAATGCGTGTTGCAAGGCACCACGGCAGCGCTGCATCAAGTTCGACTGGCTAGGCCGTTCGTTCTCCGGCTTTATCCGTGTCGCCCAATGCCCTATTGTGGGCAGGATGGGATGAGCCCAAGAAGCTGTTCGACGCGTAAAGGCTCAGGCAACTTGGACAGGAGGCCAGGATATTCCCGAACTACAAGTAGCACTATGGAGGAGCCGTCGGCTCACACTCTAGAATGAGAAAAAGCAATCGTCAAACAGCCCCGGGAGCTTGGTCATGCCTAGTTCCACGTCGGTTTTCATTGCTTTCTACAAGAAATCTTTTGTGCATGATGATGTACATACGAGTAGCCTCCGGTGTGGACTTAGCTGCTCGCTCGCAGATCGTCTAAAGGCTTTCAAAACCCTGGAAGACAGAACTCACCGACATCGTCGTGCAGCGACATGGGGGGGGCTCAAGGGTGTGTTGTAGAAGCTACGTTGAAGGAACTTGGAGGCAGGAGAAGCTGTCCAAAGCAGCTTGAAAGCTTGGATGTCAGCGAGACTCGCCATTCACCCATGTGTCAAAACGGCACGGAGTAGCGCTTTTGCTGAACTCCAGCAAAAGTGGAGGAGGCTTGCCTGTAGCGCAGCAACAACCTGTGCGAGTCGCCTAACCGGGCCTGGGCAAGCAGGAGAAAGGGTGCAAATCCATGTGTCAATCAGCTTGCTGAAGGGTTCTCAGAATGATTTAGTAACTTGGTATACGAGAAAGTTTCCTTTTTAGCTTGTCCCTCTTTGTCGAGGCCATGGAGCAGCAGACAATCTCCGTTGCCAAGCCTGGGCTTACTTGTCGCCTGAGGCCCCTTTTCAAGCTTTTTGAACCCCTGGGCCTCGAAGGAGACTCGTAGGAGTGGGAAGGGGGAGAAGGGGAGGGGACGAGGGGACGGGGGAGGGAGATGCTGGTTTCTTGCAAGTTGCTGCAAGCGCAGGGCCCGCTGCAGCGTTGTTGCGGCGCAGAGCTGGGCAGACGCCCAAGGAACGACGTTGGGGCAGGTGCTGCGGTTGCTCAATGGGTGCTCAATCGGTCCATGGTCGCTCCTCTTTCCAGCGCAGTGTCTGAGTGCAGCCTAACTGCAGTACTACAGTCTGAGTGCAGTTGTGCCAGAGTATTTCTTGGCAGCTTACCGGGCTCGCTGCGCCGCTGCTCAGCCGCTTCGACCTGATCCTCGGCCTGAGAAGTCGAGGTGCCACGCGGAAGTCATGACTGTTTTGGTTGAAAGCCGAATTTGTGACGTCTGAAGGGCAGAGAAGCCATTGCCGTCTCTTGCAGAGACGTCCCAAGCGCCCCTATCGCATCCGCGCGAAGGCACTGACGATGAGGATGTGGCCAATGCCATCTTGCGAGCCTCAGAAGGCGCAAGTAATGACAGCTGCATCAAGGCAACACAACTGGCAAGCATTGCAAGTGTCTGGCTTTCACGGCTTTCGGAAACCTGAACCTAAGCATACTAAGTACACATCACTTGTCTCGGAAGCGGTCGTATGAGCTTCATATAGGCAAAGAAACCAGCAAGAACACATGTGTTGTTGGGTTTACACGGTGAGAATCTTGAAAGCTTGAAGCCAAGAGCTAAATTAAGAAGCGTGACTATGAAATCGAACTCTATCCAGAGTTACACAAGTGAAGTACATGTGATCAAGTTGCGACAAATGATCGTTGTGAATAACTGACAAATGTGCTTGACAAAGAGAAGCATATTATTCTTCGTGAACCACCAAAGCAACATCATGGGTGCCAAGCAGGCCGAGAGAGCTTGCATGTTGTCGCTTCTGTCTCCCAGTAGTCTCCGCTAGTCCCTGCGGAGAAAGCCAGTTCTCTGAACACATTCGCCCCATGGAAGGAGGGTTCTCATGAATGCTCATCGTACCTTCAAGCCAAAGTCCGAGCTCCAGTAGGTCGCTGCGTGCAGGTGCTGATATGGATGACCGCAAGGCTCTGCAGTTCCAGACCTTGAAGGACACTGCATAGGATAGAGGACTTTCTAAAACACCCTTCTGTCATCTCTCTCGACTCTGCGTAAGGACTTTCTCATCGCGTCTCAAGAAAGTGTGCTTCGGGATTCGCCGGACGGGGACGAGCAGTTTCTTGTTGTGGCGCTGTTGCGGTGTCTCCTGACACGTGCCACAGGAAGATGGCGCTCGCCATCTCCTGGAGGCGTACTACCAACGGCTGCGAGGCGCGCACGATCCGGCACTGAGTGGCATGGGGCCATGGCACACGGCCATGGCACAGTCCAAAATCCTTGCAGCCGCCCTCAAGACCAAGCAAGACTAAGCCCTCCATTCGGAACCAGGACCTGGTATGGGAGGTCTCGGGGAGGTGGGCACTGTTTTGTCACAGCACCTCGATTGAGCATGGTCGACTCTCGGAATCTTCAAGCCAGGTTGTGACAGCACGCACGCTCGAAAGCCTCATTCGACTGTCCCGAGCGTGAGCCTCAGCCATGTCATCGTTGCGTTGTTTCGGAATGTTCCATGCTGGTCCATGCTTCCCTGAAGGCACACGCGCGCTTGATGCGACACGGCCGCGCGGCGTTGCTTCATGCATTGGATCATTGGATGATGGGGTCTTTGCTCCGGCAGATGACAGGTGCCGTGCAGCTGCAGGATGCCGTGGCGGCTGTTTTCCTACACCAGGTGGCCATTTTGATGTTCAGATGTTGTCACCTGTGGCGGGCCACGCTGCTGCTGCTGCAGGTCTGCTGGAGGAGTCACTCCCCCGATTCTAGCCAGGCCGCAGGGCGTGAAACTAGGAGCACAGCGGAGGGGATTCTGTTGGAGTGGGAGCTGAAGTCGGAGCAGATGCATGTGCAAGTATTTTGGAAGGTCTTGTGGCTTCAGAGTCGCTAGGGCTAACTTGGAAAGCCCCATCTTGGGCTCTGAGTGAGGTAGCTGTGCAAGCGCCCCTTAACACTAGACCTTAAACTCTGTTCAGAGACATTGCATGTCGAGGTGCTTCTTTCAGAAAGCTGCTTTGGGCCTCTTTGCCCATCGCACATCCGGCGTCTTCGCCCTACTTGCGGGTAACTGCAAACTGTGCTGTGCAATCAGGTGCATTTTCGTACAGAAAGGGCTGTTGTGGCGCGTATGTTAACGTGTATCGTTCATGCACTCCCCAACAGTCCCCTCCCCAGTCGTATGGCTGTGGAAAAATAGTGCAGGCTGCTCGCCCCACCGCATGCCGTAGCATCTTGTAGCCGATGGGTGCTGCAGCGACTCCCCAAAGGCCTGGACATGAGCAGTGACATAACCTGTGCCACAGACTATGAGGCAGGGACGTGTTCCTCTGAAAAAGAGCAAGAGCAACAACAAGGGTTCCTCATGTGTAGCTGCAAAGAGGCTAAATCTGACCTCCAAAGCCTGCTCACTCCACGCAGGTGGTGGAGGGCGCGATCTTGTGGACCCTCGGCCTGCAGAAGGACTTCGGCAGGGAGCCAGCGAGTGTTTGTAACACTTTTGTAACTCATGAAATCTGTGAATGTTCAGGTTTGTTCAGCCCGAGTGGCAATTGGATCACTGCAAGTCGTTACAAAGTGGGCAACAAGTGTAGTGTCTGAGATAGGTACATTGTTTACGTGGCCTTGCTCACAGCAAGCAGAACAAATATGCTTGCACTTGTGCTTGGGCTCAGTCCTGGCTTGCCATTGTCGCCTTGCCCTGCCATGGCCGCTTGCATTCCACCCGATGACCTGGAAGCGGCTGCCGGGGCGCTGGCCGCACATGCCTTGGAGCAGGCGACGTGCGCTGCACTCCGTCGGATTCCGTTGGGCTGTTGACTCTGATACTGCGCGGCTCAAGACATGACGAAGTCTGGTGGCTAGAAGCTTGTGGGGAAAAACAAATGGGGCAAAGTAGGGTTCCAGAGGGCTCAACACGCCTCCAGCAAATCTGTCAGGATGCAGCTGCTCCACCCGCTGAGGCATGCGCGGAGGCGAGGGGAGTGAAAGTCAAGGGAAAGTGAAGGGCAAAACGTGTAGAGTGTCAAGAGGCCTTGAGGCCACCCTAGGCCAGCACAGGCCACCATAAGGCCAGCACAGGCCACCTGAAGCCTTGGCCTTGGCCTACAGGACGACCTGCGAGCAGTGGCGCAGGCTCTGGCCCAAGCGGCCGAGGAGCCAGGCGACTTGGACAGCGTCGCGGCGGCGATGCTGCGCCATGCCCTGGGAACAGAGGTGGTCAGCCCAGCTCCCTGACGTGGCAAAAAGAAGGTGCAATTTGAAAAGGTTTCCAAGTCTCTTTATTCAGTGAAAGGCTATGCTTTATTGGTCTGATAGGCTCATGCCCGGCTTCCTTCTTTGTGAGCTCAGGACGCCGACCTCAACGCCGTCTCGACGGCCCTTGCGACTCACATGGCTGACTCATGCCGCAGTCCAGAAGAGCTGGAGACTGTCGCATCAGCCTTGGCACGACACGTCGTCAAGCAGGAAACCGCTGAAGCCGCTGAAGCCGCTTGGCAGAGCCACCTCGTTGTCTCGTTGTGGCTCAGTGTTTCGAGCCTGGGAGATTCTATCAAGAAGCGTATCGGTATAGAGCTGCAATGAGAGGTGGACGTACCTGTGGAGGGCTTGGCCGACATTGTTGCAAAAGCTGGAAGCCCAGCAAGCACGTGCGGGAACAGCGAGCCTACTCCTTGTTCAGATTCTCGACACACTGTGGAATGGATGTCCATTGTAGATTGTTCCAGATAATTCTACTGTGCTACATCTGGCATGAAGGCCTTGCTCACTCACGCTGCCCTGCACTACGCTGGTGATGAGCCAGACGATCGGAAGGGCTTCTCTATGGAAGGCCTTTGATTCTTAATGTGAGCATAGGTGAGCTGAGTAGCCAAGATTGGGCAGGCGAAGCTACACCGGCGAGGCAGACTTCTGACCCTGCACGCCTGCTGAGGATCCACGCAGCCAGTTCCTTAAGTTCCTTAGGATGCTGCGGGGCCTCTGCCGGCCCTGAGGTTGAGCCCGGGTTGGATGCTTCGTGATGTTCTATGCTTCGTGAGTTGCCGTCGATCTGAGGCATTGCGGCAGGAGCTCATGCAAGGTATTCGGATCGGAGACACTGTTCAAATTCGATCAGCTCTGAATCGAGGCCGTACAAGTACAGCCCTCCGAAAACCCCAACCCTCAGCCAAATCCATGAAGACTTAAAGCAAACCCTTAAGCTCTTCTTAAAGCAAACAGCTCTCCACCACTGTTGCGTCCAAAGACATCCAAGCACGACGAGGGTACCCAAGCCCCCAGTGGTGAGCGCCAGTGGAATATGTTGAATCGAGATCTCTGCAGCTGACCTGTCACCTGACCAAGAAACCCTAGACCCCAAACCCCAAGGCCTCTACTTTCAAGGAATGCGAAAGGCAAGTCTCAAAAAAGGCGCAAATCCAAGCCTCTGCAGGTGCATCGCTCTCCGCACACTACTACTCCACGAGGATGCCGGCTAGGTGCGCCTCTCTGCCTCGCGCTTTGGTCCTCTTCCCAGACGCTTTTTGCGCACATCTCTTTTTTTAGATGTAGTGTAGCATCTTGGAAAAGCAGACTATGACAGCCATTCTGAGACGAGAGCTCCTTTCTTTTCTTGCTCGTCCTTTCGCGCATGTCTTGTGTAGTTCTTTTGTTCTTCATTTTGACTACAGTGCAAGTCTGCATGTTGCAGTGTACTTTGGTTTGTGGTATAAGGTGTTTTGCTGTCTTCACAAGCTCTGCACATGTGCTCCGTCCGCAGGCCTTCCGTGCCCCTAAACGGTACGCCGAAGGGTCCAAAGACGAGTCTGGTGAACCCAGTGGACTGGGCAGTGCTGGAGGGCCGCTACAAGGATTCATCGCATCCTTTCACGTATCTCCCTGCCCATGACCGAGGCTATCTCACCTCAGCAGATTGTTTTTGCAAGCCTTAAGGCAAGCAGCAAGACATGACTAATGAAGCATGGATAAAGTTAGACCCCAAAAAAAGGGTAAAGAGAGCCAGGAGGCCATGTACCTCCTGGAGCTGACCGACGGCCACATGGTCTTCAGCCGCGACGAGGAGCGGAGCTGCCTGCAGGCGCCGGCCTCAGGGCGGCAGGGGGGGGGGGGGCCTTGGGGGGCCCTTGGGCCCTGGTGCCGGATGTATGCTGGGCGAGTGGTGGGCAAGTGGTGGGCCCCCCCCTGTTTTGAAGTGCCCTTTGTTTATTTTTATTTTTTCTCTCTCTCTCTCTCTCTCTCTCTCTCTATGGGTTTGCAGCCTTCTGGGGGGGGAGTTGGGGAGAGAGCTCAAAAGGGTATTGCAGAAGCATCAAGAGCAAAACTTGAAGAGCTCTAGTCCTAAGCAAAGTACAGAAATTTGAGATGGACAGGCGAAGGCAAGGAACGAAGAAAGACGTGCAGCCAGAAAGAGAAGTGCGAGAGAATGACAGCAAGAAAGGAGGACCACAAGGAACAAATAGCGAACGAAAACATGCAGACAAGATCTGAACTAACGCAGGAAGGAAGCATGCATACAGAAGTAACAATTCGTATCGTTCAGCAACTAGTTACATACAAAGTTAGCTCGGCCCAGCCACCGCCAACCCAACCAAAGCCATTTTTCTCACAAGCACAGCCCCTTCGCTTCCCGAGCAAGACCTTGGAATCCAATAGAACACTCGGCGCATTGGTTGCAAATGGTGGGTGGGGTGGGGGGCCTGTGAACGATCAGAAATGCTTGGTGAACAGCGAAAAAAAGAGATGTTGTGGGTTTAAGACACTTGGAGCCTGAGAGCAGGCTAAGTTGCGGCAACTTGCAGATTGTGAGCAGGGGCCTCTGCCTTGTCAGACTGCCGGCCTGCCGGCTCATGGCAGATGGTTCAGACTTGTGATGTGACTCAACATATGCCAAGTTCTTGACGGAGAGAGGCGAGAGCACACCCAGACAAAGCAGAAGCTCCTTTGCAACTTGCTTTTGTGCATTGACTGCCAGCCTGCCGGCTCACGGGGAGCTTGTGTGAGAAAGCTTGTTGTGACTCTTGTGATCCCGGGAAGATGTAGACGTGTGTGTGTGTGTGTGTGTGTGTCTCTGTGTGCGTGTCTCTCTGTGTGTGTGTGTGTGTGTGTTTGTTTTTGATGCGTCTTCATCTTCTGATGCTCTAAACTCGGGATCCCGAGACTCTTTCGGGCTGTCTTGCGCTTTTTCAACGCAGGTTGTGCAGATGGCCCGACGCAGCCAACAGGCAGTTGTCGTTGCCTCTCTGCGAGGCTCTCCTGTTTCACGTGTGTTTCTTGGGGGCTCTGGAGTTTTACTTCGGAACGTCGAACGTCAGTCAAAGGCCGCACTGTGCAGGCCAGGCGACTCTGCTCCAGATGCTCCTAGAGCGTGGAGCGGATGTCGCGCAACAGAACATCTACGGACAAACTGCTTTGCACGTGGCCGTCAGGGCTGGGGAGGAGGCCCGAGGTGGTGGCACAACGCACGTCTCACTGCTCTCCACCATTTGCACCATGCATTTCACCATTCTTCATATGTTCTTCATCGTGCCATGCCACCGCTGCATCGCTCTGCGCAGGAGGTAGCCTCCCTGCTGCTGGAGCATGGCGCGTGGCAACCGGAGCCTCACAAGCGTGAGGTGCTCACACTCGCCCAGGCCGAGAGAGACGTTGCCAGCATGCTTGCCGCATGCTTGCAGCATGCTTGCTGCAAAGTGTGTTGTCCTGTTTTGTGGGACTGCAGCGAGACGTTTGTGAGGCCCACAGAATGCAAAGTGTGATCGCGGCAGCAGGAGCTGGAACATGCTCATTCCGGAAACTGGAATGCCAGCTTGGCCTGCCTGTGCCTGCCTGTGCCTGCCTTTGCCGGCCTTTGCCGTCCTCCAGGAGTTTCAGCCGACTACACAGAGAATATTCTGGACCGTCAGCTGCCTGGGTATCAGGAGGTCCGACTTTTGTGAGTGTACAAAGGCTTGGCTTGCCGATGTCTCGTGTTGCAGGTGCTTCAGGTACTGTCCGAAGCACCGTGCAAGGCCCAAAGGGGCAGAGTTCACAGAGTTACTGGACGACTTGTGGATGTGGAAGGCCTGCTGCGCTGCTGCTTTCTCTTTCTTGTCTCATGTGCCGAAGGCTGATCGTGACTTCACGCTCTCCGGCATCGTAGACTTGGTAGGCACGGCCTCCCGGCCCAGGCAAGCGCGGCAAGCATCCGAATGGGTTTAGTTTGGATGCTTGACGCAGCTGGGACATCGGCATCCAGCCGGAAGACCGCGGACCACGGGACCGTCCGCCGCATTTTGTCGCCACTCGCCAGGCCCACCGCTGCTGGCAAACTTCCTCAAGTCGAGCGACCGACTTGGGGACCTCCCGCCACTGTCGAAGAGGCTCCCAAGAGTTGCTGGATCCAGGGGACATTGGAGGGACATTGGGGGTCATTGGGGGGTTTCTCTGCAGCTTCTCTTCGCCCATGCAAGGTCCGACGTGAACGACTGGAGCTACACGGCGAGCTCGTCAAGGCCGTGCGGAAGGGCGACCTTGCCGCCGTGGCCTCGTTGGCGCAGTGGCCTGTTCTCGATTATTGACGACTGCAGATTTACAAGATTTTGCAAGGCATTCAGTAAGGTTTGAGGCTTGGATGTTGACAATCGTTTCAAGGAGGACCGTGGCTTTCAAATCCTTTCAAGGCGTGGTGCGCAGCTGGATTTGAGCTTCAACTTGGGATACGGCGAGGTTGGCAACTGCGCCTTGAATGCACGGCTCGCAGAAAATTGGAGCCAAGTGACCAAAGCTACAATCAGGCATCGGAGCGGAAGAATCTGACTGAATAAACTAATCTGCCAATGACCCTGCATCTGATGGACCGTTGTCGTAACGTGTCGCAAGCGCAGGGACAGTGATGGGGTCTGTGTGTACTGAATTCATATATGAACGTCGCAGCTCGAGCCGTGTGATGCTGAGATGACATATGCATGTACATCCCAGGCATCGACTGGGCTGTCTGCTGCCAACAGCCTTCCGTGGCACTAAAGCTGATCGAGTTGGCAGATGCGCAATGCCTTGGAGAGGCACAGCGCTGCAGTGTACGCTGCATTGTGCGTTCAAGTATGTTGGTTGCAGGCTTTGGCACGCGGTGCTCGAGCAGCTCTCTTCTGGACGGTTTTGCACGGCTACGCGGATGTTTTGGAAGGTCGGAATCTGCCACGTCCGCTTGCTCTCGCTTAGAGTTTCAGGATGGGTCAGGTGGCAGAAATGTTCACTAGACCACTGGTTGAGAGCCGAACACGGACGTGCCATGATTCGTGCATTTGATGTGCTTTGCCTTGTCTCCAGCACTCCTCGTCCGTGGCATCGACATCGCCACATTGCAGCCTGCAGCTTTGGCCGGACATGGCGGCTCGACGGCCCTGGCGCTGGCAGTGGCAAGCTACCGTTCCGGCGAAGCCAGTTGCTCCGATGAAGACGGAAAGCAGCTTGCATCATCCAACCGCATGCGCCTGACCCCTCGAACGCCTCATGGCCACAGCACCGTTGAGTCCTCAGGTTTGTTGCTGAAACACGGAGCCTGGGAGAAAGAGCCGTTGGAGAGGCGGCTGGAGCTTCTCAGCAAGGCGTGGGATCTCGGATGGAGAGATACTCGCGGACTAACGGGGTGCTCGTGTCGTTCCATCTTCGAGTCTTGGACGGTCATAGACTCAGGTCCGCCTTCGTGGTGGGGCCATGACAGCAGCCTTTGCCGCTGCAGGCCTGTGGCAGCCTGTGGCAGCTTGTGGTCATAACATGGAAACCATGGTGAGCACAGGAGAACAGCATGAGCTCGCAATGCTTGCCTTGCAATTCGTGTGCAGGTGTCGGCTTCGATGCAGTGAGCTGAGGCTGCGCGGACTTCTGCAAAAGACGCGCGCCTGGTACAAGGGATATTCTTTACAGTGACAGGGAGGCCACGCAGGTGCCCGGCAACTTCAGGGGATTTCAGGGGCGATGAGGATAGACCGGTTCTGACGATACCAAAAAGACAAGTGTTGCGCGAATATCGGTATGACAAGGAGTTCTTAATCGTGAGAGCATTGCACTGTCAGGGGCAGTGGAACCTGAGCAAAGAGGCTATTAGCACCGCTCTGTTAAACAGTGTGGTGCCGCTTCCGTCTTAGAGCAGGGGGTCGGCCGGCCAAAGCTTGCCGATCGGGTAGCTTCTGCATACAACCCGAACATGCGCTGCCCAAGGCAACGGTGGAGCCACATTAGCTGGAGATCTTGGCAAAAACAAGTTGTGCGTCACACACCCAGACCACATGGTAGGTTAGGAGGTCAGCACATCTGGAGCCTAGCAGAAGCATCGCAGAGAGGAAACTTTAGCAAGCCTGAAAGCTCAGACGAAGAGCGCTGGAATACTGCATAATACTGCCCGAACCTTGTCACCAGGACCCGAAGACTCGCGAACTGCGGCGAGTGCGTTGTGCCTTGGCGACAGAGTCGTTCTGCAGCCACTTGATTCGAAGTGCCTAGCAAAGCCACCGTGAGATACCATATGCTATGCTATGCTGCCAAAATGTTCGCAGTTCAGCCTGGGCAGGTCAACCTGGACATCATCGCTCGGCCTGGAAGGCAGGGGCAGCGCACAGCGCGAGCCAGAGTCTGACCCAGTCATGTCTCGAGACAGGCCCTTCCGAGCCTTCCCCTGGGCGCTTCAGAACACACTGGCAAGTCTGGCGAGTTCCGGGGAGCGGTGTCGTTTCCAGCGGTGCCGAGCAGTTGGGCAGGGTAGGGTGCCAAGAGCCACAGAGCCCTCGCAAACCTGCATGGTGGTGGTTTCTTCTTTCTTCAGGCCCCACTTCACGAAGGAAGAGCTTGCGGAGGCGGAGGCGGAGGCGGAGGAAGAGTACATTCCGTGGTGGTGCGCCCAGCCTATCCTGGCCTACGTGTCCTAGCCGACTGAGTTGCGACTCTGATTTACGCCTACCATTCGGAGTTCATAGCATGATGTATCTGGGTATGAACATCATCTTCCGGGCATGGTTTTAATGAATACCTGGCCTGGCCCCTTGCAAATTGTTGGGCTTCACGTTGTGGGACTGTATCGGACGATTCTGGAGTTCTGAGGTTCAGCAGGTCACAGAGAAGGAAGAGGAGCTGGCCATCGCCTGAGGATCTGAGGATCAGCTTCAGACACAGATTCTGGCGAATCTAGGTGGAGGGTCTCGAAAATGGAGGGTTTTTGGGCAAGACTCTCCGCCTCAGGCATGAGGAGCATGAGGAGCATGAGCAGGCCTGCCGGGAGATGTTCCCTGAGACTTGGTTTGCGTGAGTTTTGCGTGGAATTCCGATCATCTTCCTGAAGTCGGGAAGAAGCCAGTGGCTTAGAGCGCTTGCGCGCCGGGGTATGCCCTGAGGTTCAGAAAGTAGAGTAACTGCGTCGAAGAATTCATCGGAGCGGGCTATGACAGAAAAGGGTGCGCAAAATGCACAGCTGCATCCCTTGGTCCAGCATTTTCTCCGCCCCTTTTCGTGTTTCGTGAGTGCGCACGGGTCCGCTGGTCTTTGGTTCACCGAAGATGTAAACGAAGCTCAGGCCTCTCAGCAGCTGGAAGCTTACCAGCAATCGCTGGCCCATGCATTGAGCTAGCCTCCTTCGCATGCGGCCGTCCCCGGCCAAGCCAATCTCGATTAAGGTCATCAAGTGCAAGCCGAGCAAGAAAGCGTGAGAAGATCTAAGCAGCAAACGCCCGCAGTGTGGTTGCTGCTCCCCATGGAGCTCGGCTGAGCTGATGCACGGTGGAGCGCGGGACACGAGACCTGAGCTGCAGGCAAGTCAACCTGGCCTTTGCCTGCATGTTGTCAAGTGGAGAGTCCAGAGAGTCCAGAGAGTAGATGCGGGAACGATGCGACATGGAGTCTCCTGACATTGGTTTCATAAACTTTGGCAGGTGTGAATGCCGGCATCTCAGAAGGGCGAGGGGGTGTGAAGGAGACGTGGCTGAGAGATGCTGAGAGGCGAGGGTGTGGAGAGAGCTGAGTTTTCGCCGAATCTGGCCTGGGATCGTTCCCCGACCCCTTGACGGCCCTTCTAAGTTGCCGTGTGCCATAAGGAGTTTCTGCTGAACAGGGTGTCCCTCAATGAGGCTCAATGTGGCCGTGGCCGTCGCCGGAGGCCACCTACTGCGAGAAACCTTGGACCAGGTGCACAGACCAAACTTCCAATAGCTTGCCAAGACTGGCGTGCACCCCCCCCCCCCCGCTTTTCCCATCAGTGCGTCTCCATTTGCATAGACCTTTGCCCGACTTCTTGTCCACACCGCTCCAAAGACTTGATCCTTGATTTGCTACGCAGCCGCTTGTAATGCCTGAAGCCATGGCAACTGCCTGCAAGTACCATGCGTCTCCCATCTGTCAACACTGTGCCCACCAAGAGCCGTGCCATCTCCAAACGGATCCGTCTGGTTTGCAGTGGATCCATGAGCAACAAGCCCTAGAAGTCCGCAGCCATGGTTTTGGTCTGCTGAGTTTGGGCCATGCAGCCTGGCTGAAAAAACTGGGGGGGGGGGGGCACCCTGAATCCTCTGAGCCTGCTGAACCCTGCCTCCAATCGAGACCTTAATGATGATGACTTGATGGCAATGCGAGGCGGCTCAACGAGAACACCCAGCTCGTCGGCAACTGGGCCGCAAGCGAGCCTAATCTTGGTCATGGTAGGTCGCAAGTGCCATGTTGCACTATTGCTCTGCTGTACCACAGGCAAGGCGTGCGTGCTGGTTCCCTACGAGAAGTCGATGGTCGAGACATACCACGAGTGGATGCAGGCACGCGAAATGAGCATGAGGCATGTGATGACCCTGCTTGCGGTCGAGTACAAGTACAAAATGTGAGCAGTGTACCCCCTGTTTCGAGTTAAATGCCGCAAGAATGCAAAACCCTAGCATCACCGAGTTAATCGGGCTGGCAGGATCCGGAGTTGCTGGAGCTGACGGGCTCCGAGCCCCTGACCTTGGAGGAGGAAATGCCCCAGATCCCGTGAAAGATGCTGCCCATCATCATCATCATCATCATCATCATCATCATCATCATCATCATCATCATGTATATATATATAACATATATATATATAAACATATATATTTTCGAGCACGCGTATTGCATCTACTATGCATGTCATCATTTAGGCGTATATCTTACGCCTGTGTAAGACCAGAAGTTTGAAAGCCCGCACACAAAAGTTGTGTGAGTTGTGAGATTAAAAAGGTAAGGCCTCATGAAGCCCGAAGTGAGCCTAATTGCATCTGCCCTGCATGTTTTTTCCTCGCATGGGCCTCCAACAGATTGAGCGAAGCTCAGGAGCACCAGATGCAGCAGACGTGGCGCGAGAGCGAGGACACAGCGCTCGAGGTTTTGTGGATTTGAGGCTTCAGGACCGGTTTTCAACCGCCTATGGCCGTTTATGACTTGACATGTGGATGTGAGAGCAAGGACAAGTTGACCTTCATCGTCCTGGATCGCAGCCTCCCACCTGATCCAGAGATGGGGGAAGCGGGAGTCATGGGAGCCATGGTCGGGGACGTGAACGTCTTCTTCCCCCAGGTCATTGGGCTCCATGGGTCGGCTACACAGGTCTGGGCTCCATGGGTCCTGGGCTCCATTGGGCGATGAGACCTTGAGTTTGGGTTTGGGATGAGAGATGAGAGGTCGTAAATCCTGGGTAGCTGCTTTGGGTTCGTTCACATCTGCCTTCCTAGTCACAAACACTCACTTGCTGGGGATCGCAAGAAATGGTTTGTGAATACCGCAGGCTTAGCGGACCAATCTCATCAGATAGGAATACCACAACCAAGGCTTTGGAAATGTCACTGGAATTGCCTGTCCTGATGTGCTACTGTAGTGGCAACCCAATTAATGGTTCACGCAATGCCTTGTTGCTCCTGTTTCATCAGTGTACCAGCGAAATTATGCACGCAACCCGGGGGGGGGGGATGAAACTTGCAAAAGAAGACGATTGCAACATAAGCTACTCGGAGTCTTTCAGGGCTTTGGGTTCAATACAGTAGGGTCGCAGTCGTCCCAGTGTTTGCGCGACAGTGTCTCCCAGGGCGGACGCGCCTCATTTCTGAGCATGAGAGGTTCTGAAGCACATGCATGAGACGAGTAGAGCCCGAGTACTTCAGGCAGGCCTGGTCGAGGAGGAGGGCTTGAGTCTATATGAGGCTGGCGAGATCGAGGCCATGAGAACGGGCATCGGCTTACGGATATACAGATAGTGGCTTGATCTCACACTCCTTTCGCGCACTTTTTCCTGCGGCGCACCTGGCGGCCTTTCTGCAAGCACGATGTTCATCTACCAATCTACTGGTTACGTGTCCGGCTATCTGGCTATCTTCCGACCTATCCATCTCCATCTCCCGCTCTCTCCTTCTCTCCTTCACTCTTCTTCTCTCTCTGAGCACCTGACGTTTTGGTTTGGGCGTCCTGTGTCATGTGTGATCATGCACTTGTTCTAAGTAGTTGGCGCTTGGCTTCAGTCCCATAGTGGTGCAAGTTTTCACTGCAAGTTTTCACTGCAAGCATTCATAGTGCGACACATGGCTTTGTAGTCTTCGCCGTTTTTAATCTCTGCCTTGGCTTAATGAAACGTTTGCGCGCAGATGTGCGTGGCCTCAGGCAGTCACAAAGAAGGCTTTTAATGCATTGCCAGGGACATATCCAGTGAGCGCCTTTGCACTTGCCATTCTTCAAAGACTCGGCTCCAGTGATTCTTGCTATTGGTTCCTCAGCCGCAGAAGACAAGAGGGAGTGGATAACACAGTGTCCTTGTCTCCCGTTTTTCCTCGCTCTCCTGCTATCCCCGTCTTTGTCGTTTTTTCATTCAATTTTTTCGTTTCTCTTCCTCTTTCAGACTCATTCACTCATTCACTCATTCACTCATTCACTCATTCACTCATTCACTCATTCACTCATTCACTCATTCACTCATTCACTCATTCACTCATTCACTCATTCACTCATTCACTCACTCACTCACTCATTCACTCACTCACTCATTCACTCATTCACTCACTCACTCATTCACTCATTCACTCATTCACTCACTCATTCACTCATTCACTCATTCACTCATTCACTCATTCACTCATTCACTCATTCACTCATTCACTCATTCACTCATTCACTCATTCACTCATTCGCTCATTCACTCATTCACTCATTCACTCATTCACTCATTCACTCACTCACTCATTCGCTCATTCGCTCATTCACTCATTCACTCTTTCACTCAGGCACTCACTCACTCATGCACTCATGCACTCATGCATTCATGCATTCATGCATTCATTGAGTGCTTCGTTCATTCATGCTTTCTCTCTCGTCTGTACTGCCGTTGTTCATCGGAAGGTCATGATCGCCGTAAGCTCTTCGCGACGGCGCGGGCTAGCCAAGGAGGCGCTCGGCATGCTTCAGGCAGGGCAGTGCAGGCGTTCTGTTACCAGGCTCGCAGAAGCTCTCACGTCCAGCGATTTCGCCCATCCGAAACCGTGCAGTAGGACTATTGCATAGAGCACCTGGGCACGAAACACTTCGTTGCAAAGATCAAGGACGGGGTGGCCCAACACTGTCGGAGCTCTCTGCCTCTGCCCACTGAAATGGCCAGAAGGATCACAACGGGCCCTCCGTTGCTCTGTTCGAGCGTTTGGGCTACCGTTTCATGAAGCACGTGGAGGTCTTTCAGGAGTTGGTCTATCAGCTTCTTGGACTCCAAATGTTCATTTGGATTTCGACAAAGCTCCCCCCGGGCCCCCAGCTGCTTGCTGTGAGAGTCATGCTTCAACCAGGCTGGATGTTGTGCAGATGCAACAGGGAGATTCAAAGTTGAATGAGGACTGTTGCGTTTGCTGCTGTGTTTTGTTCTCCTCAATTTTCTTTTGATGCCTTTCTGAGCAGGACGGAACGGAGCCAGCCTGAGATCGAGACGATGGCCCGTGACCACTCTGTCATCCGTGTCGTTGTGATGTCGGCGCTCGGACGAAGACCAAATCGAACATCTTCACATCTTCACGGATCAATGCAGGAGTCTGGAGATGAGAGTGATCTGGATGCTCAAAGGGAGTGGAGATTGGACCTGGAAGATGCTGACATGGCTACCCAACGTGTACGCGAAGTTCGAGTTCTTAAAAACAAGCTCTTGCAGCTGCGACCGAGGGATCTTTGAGGACCAAAAAGTTGTGAGCTCGAAGAGGTCAGAGGTCAGAACGAGTAAGGCTGAGTAAGGCTTGCGACTTGCCGAGATTGCACGTTGACAGCTGTGACCAAATTCCGACCATTGTGTGTGCATGAAAGGTGCAAGTGCCGCAGCTGCGACAAAATCCTGGCCAGATAGCCTGCAAGCTGTTCGTGCGGGTGCGCACACCAGACGTAAGTCGACTGTTCCAGAGTCTAGAAACGGACGGAGACGAGGTCTTGAGACCGCACCACTGCAGGTCCTCTCGGCTTCTCTACCCGGTCTGCCTGAGCCTGGGGTGGTCTCGCGGTCGCGCCCCAGGCTTACAGTCAGGCTTAGAGTCAGGCTTACAAGCTGCTTGCACTCAGGCTTGTCCTGACACATCCTGTCACGGAACTACCCGTGGAAACAGACAGCAGGAACAAGAGCGTGGGCTGTGCTTTGCAAAAGGTCCTTACCTGGAAGCAAGCCTGGGCTCCGTGCAGAAGGCACTGCTTCCAGCTGCGATGTCGCATTGGCAGATGTTCCTTGATTGTCCTTCCAGGACACGGAGCCGGCGGACTTCAGTCCCTCTTCGCCATCTTCCGCAAAGGTGCTATCATCGCGGTCCTGAGACACCGCCTAACACCGCCTGAGACCGTCCATGCCCAGTATCCATATGCAGGCAGTGCCCGAGAGGGAGCACTCTTGGCGCTTCGACGAGATGCTGACCTTCACCGTGAAAGTTGAGGCCATCTTCTGGTTTCACAATCGAGCCAGGGAAGATGGGCCCCAGCTTCCCAGGATCTCGCTGGGCCTGGGCTGAAGCTTCGCCTTCGGGTGCTCAACGAGACACAGCAGCATCCTCAGATCTCAGGTCATCCTCAGAATTCCTCAGACATGTCAGACGTGTGCCGAAGTGTACAGCAGGCTGGGGCCTTTCCAGTTTCTGGGGCGACCTGCAGATGTTGGCGAGGCCTCTCTGATCGGGGGAGGACCTCCCAATGAGATTTTTTTTGCGCCCTGGACCCTGCAAGGCGACGCTGGACCTGCGGAGGCGCATCCTTCCTTCGTGCCTGCAGCAACCGCCGGGGGCCTCTACGGGGTCGGCCTAGGCTGTCACAGGGGTCAGTCTGTTACGGCCCATGGGGTTTTGGACTGGGGTAATAACGATGAGCGGCTGCGTGACTTCAGCTGGCATGGGTTTGTGTTTCGAGGAGGGTTCGTCTTTCAAGAATGCTCTGCCAAACTGGGAAGAGGTTGACTCCGCTTCGATACCCGACCTCGCTACCCAGAAGCCATGAGTGTGGCTCTGCATTGTGCAATGCAAAGGCTACTGATGGCATGCAAGACTTAGCTTGCCAGTCCATTCCAAGACACAGCGAAAGGCAAAGTAGATGACCTTTCGGCAATCATGGTACGTCGCTTTTCTGTTTTTGGTATCCGGTTCCTCGACTTCTTGCATCCGAGAGCCAAGATTCTCTTGAGTCCTTTGAGGCTGGAGTCAGACAAGAGACGATGCGTTTGGTCCAGTCCTGTGACGCCGGTCCCGCTGGCGGAACTTTCTTTGCCGAACTCACCGTACTCGTGTGTTGCTGTGTACGTTGCAGACATGGTCTCATATGGTCTCCCTGCTCTGACAGTTTTGAGTCATTTTCATGCCAGGTTCCTTTCGCACACATGCGCGGAGGGCTTCTTGGTGCTGAGTGCAAGTTGGGAGAGGTGCAGGAGTACTGTAGTCAGATGCCCACGAGACCCGGGCACACAGTTGCGCTGTTCTTCAGCAGTCTCTTCCTTGAAAGGCCGTGGCGCACGTCACGCTTCGATTCACCCTGGACACAGACCCTGCAAGAAACTTAGCCATCCGGGATTTGAGGGCTGGGCAACTCTCAGTGGCCCACTGGCCCTCTGACTTCATAGGGGTATCCATAGGCGGAACTCGATTTCGAACTCGGTAGTCAGAAGGCGTCTCTTCCGGGATCGGAGGACTACTTGTTGGACCTTGTGCGGCCGCAGATGAACTTGGAGCAGAAGCTTCGGGAGCTTCGTCAAAGTTCGGACTTTGGGATACTGATGATGGAAGAGTGGGCAAAGACGCTGGTTGTTTGCGTTTGTGTGCGTTTCTGACGCAGGAGAGTGCAGATGAGATGTCACGGTGGCTCGAAAACATGCACGGGCCCTGGGCCCCTTTTTAAGGGGCAGATAATATTATTTCACTTCGTGCCCCATTAATAATACAGTAGAAATGGAATGCAGATGTGATTACAAGAATGAAGATACAAAAATAACCGAACGAGTGATGGAAATGAGCCTGCGAGCGGGGTGCATTTCATGAAGTTAATAGTGTTTCCGTGTCCACTCCATGCTTCTAATTTGTCATCTTTCGTTATTCTTTTTTCTTTTTGCTTTCCTAAAGTTTACATTTTAAACAAGCTGTAGATGCTTTCGAAAACTTGCGCTATCGTGCAGCTTGTCAAAGTTGTCAAATTTGTAGTGCGCGCCTGCCCAGACCGCCGGCGCCATGCTGCTGTGGTCCCTCCTTCGACCAGGTGGCAATTGCTTATCACATGGGGAGGGTTCTGGACAACGTGGAGAAACGGGCAGGATAAAGGCCGCGGTTCGATGTTCTGATGCAGAGTTCCAGAAGCGTTGTAGTCAGATTTTGCATTTTACTTTGCAGCTCTTTTTGCAGCTCTTTGCAGCTCTTTGCAGCTGCTGCAGCCTGCCATACGCTTTAAATGTGGCGTTTCAGAAGAGGTGGACCCCTTGGATGTGGATGCGGTGGTGGGACGAGCTGCGCTGCGTGCATGGCCTGTCCCCTGGCATGTCGCGAGCGCCGTTCAGAAGATTGTTCCGAAGTCTTCAATAAGATGCCAAAAGTCATGCAAGATGGGCCATGATGGGCCCAAGGACCGTGGCTGATGTGCAGAAGCCCCTGCCTGCGCCCGATCTCTCTCCTGAAAACTGGGTGAGCACGGTAGGCCGGACAAAGAGCAACGCTGTTCCACCTGCAGTGTGGGGATTCGTTGAATTTCCGAGACAGTTTCTGCCTCAACGAAGTGCGGTCTCGTGGTGAGCGTGCAGGTCCCAATGGCCGGAGGTATTGGCACAACCTGGCATTGGGTCCGGCACCTTGGGAGGAGTCCGAGGCCTCCCCGTCATCGCCCGGGCCCCGAAAAGGGCGGTGGTTCCTCGGAGGTGCCTTGCTGGAGGTTTAGGGGGAGACTGGAGGGGGATGCTGGGTGGATGTCTAAAGGGGGATGTTTTGCCGCCCGAAACCCAACCCCTCCCCCCCACCACCCCGAATCCCAAAAATGCCGCCAGAGGCCGAGCCTTCCCAGCCCGGAAGAGGTGCCGAGCGGCTGGATCTACCGAGAAGGCCCAAAAGCGTCTACGGGTTTGGGGGCTTCAACTAAAAACCCTCAACTCCATAAAAAGGGGCATAGCTCCCGAGTTTTGGAGAGGTTGAAGGCTTTCAGGTGCCCGGTCTTCATGGAGGTTCATGGGGTTCTATTGGTTGCTCGTCGGTTTTTGATACATGCTGACTCAATGCTGACCTTCACGGGTTGAAGCCTTCACGATGCCTCACAATCTATGCCCCCGAGGTGCAGATGGCCGGCGGTTCTGGCATCACGCAGACCTTGGCAAGCCACCCATCACTTGTGGGGTAGCGTAGCAAAAGCACGTCCAGGGATGGGCAGAAGAGCCAGCTCCTCATCTATGTCGGATTATGTGGGTCGTCTTCTGACTGCCAAGGTCCTCCACCCTGGGAGCTTCCTGCGCAGGCTGCCGGCTCAATCATTGGCGGGGTATGCCGTGATGTGTTTTGCCTTGTCGAGGCTTCTGAAGGACCCGCAGAAGGAGGCAGGGCCTGGGGTTTGAAATCCCGACATGAGAGCCCTGCATTTCTGACGGCAGGCCAGTCGATTGAAGTCACTGTTTAGCCGTTTCCGGGGCGTGCTGGGCACCCAGTAGTTCCAAGCTTTGTGCACGGGGCAGCGAGTATTGTGCATTGCTGCATTGCCCCAGGAGCTGCGGCTCGGCCAGAGGTCTGCCGCATCTCGGCCTGTCTCAGACGGACCTCTAAGTCTCACGGTTCGCACAGTTCGCACAGTTCGCACGGCTCTCACCTTGCGAGCAGACGACGCGTGCCTCGATGACTCTACAAGAGGGGTCAGTTACAGAGGCGCCTGCTGAGCCAAAACTACTCGTAGAATTTTCAGGTGGAGTGACGACCATAGCTCTTGGACATCTTCCGATGTTCTGTGAAAGAAGGGGGGGACGAAGGAGGGGCATTTCGGCTCTTGCAAGTGCTCTCAGCTAGTGTGGCTCCTCGAGGGTGTCGATTGTGCGGGGCCGCCATGTTTTCAAGGGGGCAAGTTTTCGGGGGAAGTTTTGATCATTTCAGTCGAGAGTTGTTTACAGAGTTCACGGTGTGGCAGGTACCATTCGGCGATGGAGTGGCATCCGGCCTTCAAGACGTGCGCGCCGCATGCGTTGTGCATGTGTCGTGCAGCCTCATGATGACTGATCCGACTAATTAGGAATGAAGTGAAGGACAGGCACAGCTGTATTGAAGATGGTGGTCTGCTGCATTTGGGCACAAGGATGGCTGCTTGATGTAATAGTCATGCTGTTCCTTTGGCTCCGCGCGCTTGGTCTGTATCTTCTTTCCTAAAACAGATTGTGCTGCCGCGACACAAAGACCTCCCGTCCTGAGACTGGCGACCAAAGGGAAGGCCCGCACATGCTCGATCATTCTCGGCGCCCACCGAAAGCGCCCAGCCCCGACCCAACAGCCCCAAGACACTGAGCATGAAAAATCGGGCGGCAAGACGTCGACTCACCACGAAAGAAGACATCGATGGTTCGGAGTTGTGAAACTTCCACTTTGCAGTAGTCAATATTCTTTTCTTTTTTCGTGCGGCATTAGTAATAGTGTGCGTTCACTTCATATTAATATTACGAAGAGAGAAACGAATAAGTTAACGAATGTACTGAGTGAGCGCAATGAGTGTACGAACGCAGTACACACCTTGAGACCCTGTTAACGTCTGGTCTGGATAACACTCGTCTTTTCATGAGTCTTACCGCTGGAGCTGGAACTAGATGCATGAGTCTTCTGTCTTCATCTCCAAGTCTAGGGTCTTTTCCCCATTATTATAATACGGGCTTCAAATGCGCGAGCTTATTTAAAGGGTAGCCGATCGGATGAACGGGTGCCGTGGCAGTCTGAAGCTTTCGTGGTCGCGTCACCCAGTTGAATCGATGGGATTGTTGTGCTCGGAGCCGAGGGCAAGAACAGGGCGACACGCTTGGTATGGTTTTGGCGAGTTGTGTGACAAGGGCCGGAGGTGGAGTAGATCGTTATGGATGGTTGCTTAACCAAATTCCTAAGTCCTTTCACCTAAACCTTGAAGCTTACTTCTAACTTGTCATAACTTGTCCAAACACGCGGGTACAGATCAAGAAGCGCTGTGGGAGGGTGTGAACAGCGCAGCAGAAGTGAAAGAGCTATGCTGACAGTCAACGAATCTCGCCTTAAGCGCTGCAGCTGAGAGTCACATGTTGTGTCATTGGTACAACGAGATTAGAACAGTTTGTTTTGGCTGTGGTCCGCAGCGTTTGTGCTGAGCCTTCTGGCAAAGTATCGTTCGCCATGATGAATGTAATCACGCTGACTTCTTGCAACCCCAAGCAGCGGCCGCAAAGGACGATCAGAGCAAGCGTGATTTCGGATTTGGTCAAAGGCACAATGAGCACGACACTGTCACAGAAAACGGTGCTCCTCTGTGACTCGCGATGTGCTTCGGCTGGAGCTTCAATACGAAACAATGCGGAAGTATCGAGGCATCGGAGCTGTTGCACGCGTGCGCAAGGTATCCTGGAGCCTTCACTTCTCATGTCCACATGTCCACACTGTGATCATGTTGATCAGGCAAGGTCCTGGTGCCCTATGCCAAGCGGACGCAACCAGATGATGATCTGGAGGAGATCATCAGGTGCTCAAGAAATCCGTTGGCACATTAAAATGGCATACCTCTACTTGGGCTCTATCGGCCAAGGTTGGACAAGATGCCCTATGATACTCCGATGGAGCTTGTGGACGATGTGAAGGCCATGCTGCAGCTTTGATTCTCCTTCGAACACCACCAGCAGACCACCAGCAACATCCAGCAACGCAACAGGTGCAGTTCATATTGCAGCGTGATGGCATTCAGCTCCAGGCCGCTGGAGCGTTGGACTATGGTGGACTCGTACCAGTTAGGTGTTGTCGCCTGACTGCGCTGTCTTGGGAGGAAATGCCCCGTGTCGTACAATCTCATCCGAAGTACGTTGAGGCGAGCCGTCGCCTGCTATTGCGCACTCGACAGTTTTGGGGCAATCCGAAGCAGCTGCTGTCAGCAGTTCCGGAGCTTGTGTGGGTTTCTTGAAGCTGCAGAGTAGTCTTTGCGCCCGATACCCTGACACCCAAAGCCCCAGTCGACCCAGCACCATCGGAATTTGACGGCAGCTCATTATACACGCTCTTTGAGGCTGCGGTTCGCCAGAATGGTCTGGCCATCGCTTTCGCCGACCCAGAGCTTCAGGACCCGCTCACACGGAAAGTGTGAAGCAGATCAGACAGAGGTGTTTTCCATCAAGCAATCGTTTTTGCCTCATGCGACATGTGAGGAAACGTGAGAGAACGAGGGGAATTTTGACCACACCGAATACTGCACTGAGACCGCGCAATTGTGGAAGGTCAACCTGCCGATCGTGGAGGCCGCCTTGGCTCAGTCTGGGGAGGTCTTGGAACTCCTGAGTGACGACTTGCGGATGCAAGAGGCCGGTTATTGAGCTTTGTGGACCGGTTCTCAGAGATCCTGAAATATGTTCAATATGTTCTGCTGGGTGGCTTCTTGACCAGGATATTGTTTTACAAGCTGTGCAGCAGAGCGGCCGCAGCCTTCGGTTTGCTGCTGCCGAGCTGCGAGCCGACCCGGATCTTTGCATGGAGGAAAGGGGTCGGCGAATGATAGTCGGGACTCGCCCCGCGTTTTTCCTCCCAACCCGGTGAAGACAGCCGAAAGCAGACATGTGTGATGCTTGCGACATTTACGATGAGCATCACGAAGCCTTTTCCAGGCTGTAGCCCAGAATTGGCAAGCGATCGAGCTCCGCAGCTGCATTCGTGTTTTTTTCGTATTCAGGGTCAGTCTATGGGTGTCGCGTGCGCAGGTACTGTGATCCTGTGCTGTACACAGATCGTGAGTTCATGCTCAAGGCCCAGTCTGTAGCGATCTCCCTAAACCTGCAATTGCCATTTGCTTCGTATTTGGATGCGATATGAAGGGACATATGACGGGACACGTCAGGCGATCGCTTCGAGCTGGCGTTGCCTATCCTTCGCCCATCCGGACATCTGCAACGACAGGGCGGTAGTGCAGCTTGCGCTCAGGCGAGGTACAATAGAGCCAGCAGGAAATGGCAGGAATGGGAGTAGGATAACATGGGAATCATGGGAGTAGGGAGTTGGAACTGGAGGAGTATGAGGAGATGGAGAGGTCTTCGAAAAGAAGTGTCAATTGAAGCAAATCGTGGAGCCATTTGGTCAAAGAGGCTCCGCCTCGTTCAAGAGTAGTAGAAGTGGCAGATGGCGATTTCGACTCAGTTTGTAGAGGCAGAGCTGGCTGGCCCTGGCGCACGCCTCCGAGATCCTGCGTGGGGACCGCAGCCTGTTGGAGGAGGCCTTGGACCGTGGCACGTGGCAGGTGGGGGGGGGGGGGGGGGTCTGAAACGACCGTGACATCCAGGCAGCAGAACGGGGCCTTGTACGCCTTAAGCCTCAACATTGCCTTTTCTCAAGTTCTGTGAATTGGTTCTGAGTCTGGTCAGGTCATGCTCCATGCAGACCCCGCGCTTCAAAATGACAGCTCCTTGTGAGCTCTTTCCGAGTTGGCTTTCTACGGATTCTACGAGTTGCTGTTTCATTTGCAAGTCTTGTTGCGTCCGCTGCATTGATCGCTGCATTGCATTCACATTGTGGAAGCAGAGCAGGATCGCGACCTCGTGCTGAAAGCTCTACGATCATCTGGCTTCGCACTGCAATGTGCATCGCCGAAGCTTCAAGATGATGACGAACTCGTGCCTGTGCCGTGATTTGTCGCAGGGCAGTCAGAGTCCAATAGAGCCCAATGGTCCAAAGCATAGCAACTATGGCAGGTAAGGGAGGCCTCGCAACGCGAGCCATTGGCACTTGAGCTGCGAGCTTGGAGAGCTGTATGATCCACTTGCGGGTTTCGTGTCGGTTTCTAGGCTTAGGCATCAATTTGCACAAGCCCTGCCTGCGCTGCGCACGCAGGGCCTTGGCTTGCACGGCATGCGCGTGCCAGTAAGCTTTTAGCAGCTACGAAGAGAAACCGTAGAAGCTGCACAAATCACAAATGCTCACCGGCCCCCGCCCCCCACCCCCCCCCATCCCCCCCACCCCCCCCACCCCCCCCACCCCCCCACCCCCCCCCACCCCCCACCCCCCCCACCCCCCCCCCACCCCCCCCACCCCACCCCACCCCCCCCACCCCCCCCACCCCCCCCACCCCCCCCCCACCCCCCCCCACCCCCCCCACCCCCCCACCCCCCCCACCCCCCCCCCCCCCCCACCCCCCCCACCCCCCCCCCCCCACTCGTGGAGTCGCCAAGGCATGCCTCCGAGCGCCTGCGCGATCGCGAGGAGTGCCGGCAATGCGGGCAAATTTCTGCAGTTCGTCAACAACGCGATTGAACGCTTGCACTCAGGGGGTTCCCGGAGTCCAGAATGTCTACGGCAGTCGCTGTAGTGACGCAAGTGTAGTACTCAGGTTTTCAGTTGTGATTTTCAGATTTTCAGATTCAGAAAGAGGACTTGATCCTGGCCGCTGTGCGCATGGATCGGTGTGCGCTGAGTTGCGCCACAGACCGGCTCAGAGGCAAAGACGACGTCGAAGTCTAAGGGGATGCGACACCAATAGCTCCTGTGCCAATTGCTGCAGATGTCAGCGCACGTCGACACTTTGCCCCGGTGCAGGGGACTTCGACTTCATCATGAAGTGTGTGCAAAGTGACTCGCTGGCACTAGGGAGCAGCAGGATGGATCGCTGTACGTCACCTGACAAGACTTGTGATGCACCCCCCCCCCATTTGTAAGACTTGCGACGTGACGCGCCTTTTCGCCGAGTTAATGGCATGGCGGTGGAGTATGCCTCTGATGCTCTTCGGGCTGCCTGGCTCCATCGGGCTCTACTCTCCGCTAGTATTGATAGCTGTTCTGAGATGCTCTCTCTCCTGAAGGCAAATGAGGACATCTTGATGGCCGCAGTCAGCCCTGCTCCCAGTGCCACTATTGCAGCTATGGTGTGCCCTTGGGTGGTGTCGGGTCAGAACTGTGCTGTGCTGAGAACAAGACTGGCGGGCTGTGAACTTCGCGCCGTCGGACTTGCAGAGCAAGCTGACCTAACAGACTGGTGTGGACCACGTGTCCAGTTCTGTTATATGGATACACTTTGCGGCAGAAGGGGGTGATGCATTCGTGTACCAACTGGGACCACACTGGAACCTGTGAATCGGTCGCCCAAGGCGCACCATTCACTTAGGAATCTTAGGGGCTTAGACCGGGCGTAGATGTGCTGTTGCATGCTGTCGTCACTCCGGAGGCAAAATCTTGCTGTGCCAAAGACAATGCACGAGCAGAAAACAGCGTGCCAACCGAAGCCGCCAACATGTGCTCGGTGGCAGGGTATCGATATATCTAATCTGATAAAATTGGTGGTCCCCCCCCCTCGCAATGAGAAAGGCAGGGCGCCGCAACAATAAGACCATTGGCAATGTATTGATTCTCGATTAAAATCAATAGGAACGTATTGTAGTTTCACCGATCCAAACTGTAGCTCAGCCCCCCGATTTTTTTCTTTAAATGTGATAGCATTGGCCCATACGAAAACCCCTGTAATGGAAGTAGTCTTCCAGCGGGATTCTCGACGAAACAAAAACTCTTCAAATGTGAGGGTATTACTTGTAAACTCTTGCGCGCGCCGCCTCGGCAGCCGGGCGGGAAAGGCCTCAAAAAAGGGGAGGGGGTCCCAGCACAGAAGAGGGGGGGTTGCAGCAAGGTCCTGGTAGGGTCCCAGAATGGTCCCAGGGGTCCTAGGGGCGGTGCCAGGCAAGTCCAGGGCTCCTCGTCGGTTTGCAGCTCCTCCAAGCGATGGGCGGGGGTCCCAGGGAAAAGGGGGGGGGGTCGGCACGGAGGAAGGGTGGGTTGGGGAAAAGGAGACCGGATCCCGTGTTTGCTTGTTCCAAACGCTTCTCGGCAGGAAGCCGAGGCGAATTCAACAGATGCTCGGATTGCTTGATACGACAAACCCCCCCCACCCCCTCCCCCCCCGCATGCGAGAGACTGGAAGTGTGCTGGTTCTACAGAGAGTCTTCTTGGGTTTGCCAGGTTTGACAGTCCAGCTCTGGATGGCAGTGGAGCTAGTTGGCCACGGCTTCAGACAGTCTCAACCTGTTCTGCAGCTCCGTCTCTGACCTTTGACTATTCAGCTGTTGCCACGAAGGCGTACTGGCTCACATCCCAGCCTCCGGCGGAAGAAGCTCGATGCCAGCTACGGCCGGCAACTCTGTTTTTTGCCTTGTTCATGTACATGTCGATGTGTCAACTAAATGCAGACGACGACGACGACGACGACGACGACGACGACGACCGCGACCGCGACCGCGACGACGACGACGACGACGACGACGACGACGACGACGACGACGACGACGACGACGACGACGACGACGACGACGACGACGACGACGACGACGACGACCGTGGCAACACGTGGCAACGCGACTGCTCGATCTCAGCTGGGGCAGGATCTGTTCTGCAGCACTTTGTTCATTTGTCACTTCTTCCCGACCCCGATCTTCACATTTTTCGGTCCAGCCACTTCCGGAAGAAGGAATTCGGCACGAGTACATGTTGGTACGAGCAGTCGCTCATCTAGACTCTACGGGGTCTCGCGTTGCAAATTGCAATCGCACCAAGGAAGGTCAAGGCATGCGAAGGGTTGAGGCTTTTCCTTCACGATGTGTTTGAAGTTTATGTTTGAAGTTTACAAGAAGGTTTTAGGGGGGGGTCCACCACCACTTCCCCTCATGTCGCCCACCGCTGCGGCAGATTTCGGAGCTTGGAGTACATCCTATTCTGGAAGCTCACCTTCGACTAAGGCTCCCGCAATGTCCGTGTAGCAGCCGTGTAGAAGTTTTCAAACTCTCTAAAAGTTGAAATTCTGAGAGTTCTTGTGTTCTTGTGCAATTTTACATTCTGGCAACAAGGGCGAGGCCACGTCCTGCAGGGAGGGCAACAGCTCGCAGTTGACGCAAGTGGTTTGCACTGAAGAGATTGGCCGAGCGATTCGGAAAGTGGGGCATCAGTCATGCCTGTCGCCACTCTGGCTCGAAAACTGCAAGGTCCGATTAGTTTAGTTTGCCATTCGGGTGAAGTTGGGCGCCGAGCACCGACCATCATGCAATTGCCGAAGCTTCACCTGTGAACCTGTGGCTGAGGCTGTAGGCATGGCAAAACAGGGATGGATCTCGCGAGCTTTGTCGACAGTTACATCCAGAAGTCTTCGCCTCAGGGGCTTGGGTGTGTTGAAATGTGTTGAAATGTGTTGAATGTGTCCTGCCAAAGTCCTACCAAAGTCTCCAAGAGCATTGGAATCCTCGAGGTAGGAAGAAGACCAGCTCGTGTGCAGACTTCGAGGATGAGGAGAAGCAGGAGGCGTGACAGAAAGAGAAAAGCACACGGAGAACCAACAGAGCACCGTTGGCAGGGTTGAGTCAGGTTAAGGATTCGATGCCCTGCCCCCGAATGGTGCTGCCACAGGATCTGCCCTACTTACCTTCTGCACCATCTTCGGCGCTCTTTACAAAGGCTCGTCAGAGTTCACCGAAGCCCGTGGTCACGGAGTGCACCGTTGAAATCTGCAGGATTTCAGCGTCCCTTCGGTGGGAGGTTGTGTGAACATCCAGCGCCCTCACAGTCTCCTAGCTGCAAGAGCAGCACATCGAGTGTGTAGATTGGCTCACCCCCAAGTGACACTATGACTATAAGTACCTATACGCTTTGAAAAATCGGGCTCCCGCATCTCCAACGGCTTCTATGTGACTTCTGTGTACCTCTGTACATCAATACCTAGGCAGCAACTTACTGCCAGAGGAGGTTGCCGCCATCTCAGCTTGCTCTCAGATGGTTCGCACTCGCGCAAGCGCGAAGCTTCGCATGCGTGGCCCAATGTGGCCCACTTCCAGGTGCTATTTGAGCCTTCAGCTGAAGAAATCTTTGCCGACCGCACAGGCAGAGGGCTGATGCGCGAAAGGGGGCCCCTCCCCGGGCTCTCCTGTTCCCTGTCCCATTCTCTGATTCCTGTTTTCTGGAGGTACACCTCTTGGGAGCCGCTTGATCTTCCTCAACACGCCTCTGGCAGAAGCCGAGGCTCTGGTCCCCTTCGGAATCGCCTAAGGAGTAAATTGAGTAAATGAATCCTATGGAATTCGCATCCTCGAGCTGAGAAACTCGTGAGAGCTTTGCGGCTTTGCGCGCATCTGGACCTCAAAATACGCAGGGGACAGTGATGAAGGTCGGTGGACCAAGCATAAGCAGTTCTGCAAGGTGCAGGCTCTAGCAGCCTTGCGGAAGGAGTGGTGTGCGCCAGGGGCTCAGAGGCACCGAGTGGGCTTACAGGGACAGATGACATCAGATGACGCTTACGGAGAAGTTGACAAAAGCGCGAGCCGCAATATCCGCAATGCGAAGCTTGAGACTTTTCCACACCTTAGGCGGCGCAACGGCAGAGATGATCTCCCGGAGTCTCTTGGTGCATGGTCACGTGTGGCACCTTATGTCAGTAGTAGCAATGACCTTACAGAGCACTGGGAGAACTTCGAGAGTCTTTTCTGGATCCCATCGTTTGGGGGCATCGCAGCTTTGCCTTCAAGTCTTCCGGTCGACTCGCTTCGGTAATGACTCGGAAATGACCTTGTCAAGAGATGTCAAGAGCATCTTTGAGCTCTCCAGTGGAGGCCACAGCGTGCCTGTGCCTGCATCGCGGGTAAACGGTCAAACGGATGTCAAACGGTTCTTGTGGCAACGAAGGTTCATCCGCCTCAGCGCCCTGAGGGTGCTTCAGCACAAGAAGTCCTGCCCTTACCGTCCATCGCATGTAAAGCTTGTAGAACTCAGAAAGAAGTGAAGTCTGTGTCTGTGGCCAGTCCAAGATGTGACAACATTCTGATAGCCACACGTACGTGTGCAGGTTCGACGTATCCAGGGCGATCGACCTCATACAAACCTGCCTGGAGGATGGCATTGTCGGGCGCAGGGGGAGCATGCAGAAAGTGTGCAACTGGGAAGCTTCAGACTCCCACGTTGGCGCACGGTACCTACTCACACTGCGGTTTCCGCAGGAGCGTGTCCGCAGACTGCCGCTTCAGGAGGCTTGATTCCTTCGCGCCAATCCAAGATCTGAACATAGCAGCCAGGGCTAGTTAATGCGCCAGGCAGACATCTTGCAAGACTTAAGTTGTGGCGCCATGTCGGCGACTCAGCGTCTCAGAGGCTTTCGCTTGGGCAACACCCTGACTGCACGGTTCTGGATCCAAGGTATTGGCATGGCCGGGACCGCAAGTGCAGGCCCTGCCTGGTCGTCCGAATTGAGCGATTTGCTGACCTCATCAAGGACAGAACTCTCTCAAATAGAAAATATGTGAGCGCATGTGAGCAACTTATGAGCGCTGTAGGGGAGACCAGGCTGCTTGGTCGCAGGACAAGGAGAGGTGCGTTAGAATGACGATCTTTGTCCTGGAGTACGCGATTCGGTATGCCATGGCCGGACCCCCAAACTGATGACCTGACCTCTGCAAGCCGTTCTGCAAGCAGCTCGGCAAGCCGTTCTGCCAGCTGCTCTGCAAGGTGCCTGGCCGGGTCGAGAACTGGGCTGCTCGGACGCAGAGCTTTCCAGCTAGTTTTTGTCTGCAAAAGCTGCCACAGAACAACTTCCCATCTGCTTTTGCACCTTCATGCTGAGCTGAAGTGGTTTGCACTAGCTGGTTCCAACTGCCAGGTAGTGTTGGTAGACTTCGAGAATGCATCGGACGTTGTGTCCTTCTTCCAGCTGCCAGCAATGTGCCACACACTGAGACTACCGAATGCGCACTGCAGCAACCTCATACCAAAATGCGGCGACGTCAAGCTTCGCGGATGGGAGATCGCACAGACAATTTCGATTGTTCGCAGGGCCTTGTTTTGCACATACTTGCACCTCGCTGAATGGTAACGTGGTGCAGCCCCTTGGCTATCTGTTTCCGTGTGATCTTAGGTCTTACTGCAAAGGCTCTTTCACAGACTCTGGAGAGCGTGTACTGCTGTCGCATGGCCTGGCACTTTGAACCGAACGCGGCCAGATTCTGCAACGCCAGATCTGGGGACCTGACCTGCTCAGGTTTGGGTAAAGCTCCTGAATCTGCGCCCGGCCTCAGACATGCAGATGCGACGGTTGCTCCAGTCAGCAGTGAAGGTGTGAGCAAACAGAGTGCTTGAGGCCCACCGTCCTCCGCAGCATAGTTCAGAGCGTCATACCTGCAGAGAAGAAGAAGAAGGTTTGTGCCATCGAGGAGTCTCGTGAGCAGTTGACTTGGAGTCCGCGAGACTCAAGGGACCCGTTGTCTTGGTGTGCAGAGTTGCTGACAGTTTGAGTTTTTCCGTATGTTTCCGTGAAGGACCCTTCAAAGGAGCTCCTGAAGTACTTTGAGCCTAACCAGCTCGAGGCGTTTTTTTCTCTAAGCTGCTCTCTTTGTATTGTCGAACGATGCTGAACGATGTACGCGAGGTCAGGTATGGGGGGACTCGGCCGGACCTGAAACCTCACGAGCCACCGCCCAAGCGGCATCTGAAACCTGGTGCTCCTTGCATCTGAGACCTGGTGCTCCTTGCTATTCCTTGCTGGCCAGCAAGGACTTATCCTTTTCATTTTTTCCCTGGCTGCAGCGGGTCTGCATCTGCTCTAGCCTCAGTCAAGATCAGTCAAGTGTCAGAATGCAACCAGCGCTCACTGCCAGGGCTCGCGCCGGATCATGACCTGCGAGAGCGATCGCAGCACAGCCAGTACAGATAGCGGGCCGAGCACTTCTGCAAGCAGTGAAGAAGCCTGCCTGGTCGGCATCCGAATCCGAAAATCACGCTTCCTTGTCCCAGTGCATGTGCACGTGCCGTGTGGCATGTATCTGCGCCCAAGGCAACCATTGAGCCTGGGAACTCGCTGCATCATCTTACAGGACGTGACTCACAGTGCATGATGCCTTTAAACATCAAACCTTTCTTTGCGCCTTCGAGCTCTAGATTGGGCATGGACAACGAATGGTGAGTCAATGAAAGAGTCGAGAATTGCGTTTCTTCCTAAACTTGTAAACACAAGGACGCAAGTTTCACGAGGGCCAGCTTTGGGATACTGGCGCAGGGGCCTGAGTGGAAACCATCCAAAAAGTGCGGCACACAGCAGGAGCTCTGTCTAAGCTCAATCCAAATGAAGAAAGAAAGAGCAAAAGAAGAGAAGAATAGACCTTACTTGAGTTCCTCAGGTCCGAGACCGGTGGAGCGCCGACGCGACGAAATCCAGCCTGACGCGGCAAGCCGCACAGGCGCGGCACAGGGCATCAACCACGCTGAGGGCATCACAGTGCACCACACAGGGCTACCGGGTACCCACTTTAGAGGTATGGAGTACACAGGATGGGGTACACTAGGATGGAGTACGCTGGGAGGGAGTACACTAGGAGGCCAATTTTTCGGAGGGGGGGGGAGGGGGGTTGAAATCCTCACAGAGCTTCATGCAGTCAAATACTTACAAGGATCTACGATCGCTTTTCTTTCTCCGAGGAAACTGCCGCAGCAGTACTTAGTCGTAGGAGTGTTCTGCTCTGCTAGGCGCTTTCCAGAATGCTGGATGAGGAAATACCCCCTTGCTGTACAATGCAGCGGTGGAAGGCGGACACGATATGCCATGTGCATCCATTTTGCGATTCCGGGAAGTTCGCACCTTTTCTGACTTTTGGCAGCAGCGGCTTGCAGGAATTAGAGGCTTGCGAAGCAACGAAGAAACAGGACCTGTACTGCTACAGCTAGGCAGAGATTCCTGAATCGCCCGAGTCGTGGCAGAACCGCAGTCTGCACGGATTGGCTCTTGTGGCCTGGCTCAGGAGACCCCTGCCGTTCTGCTCGGCAGCCAGGCGCATTGCTTGCTGTCGTACATTGAGTGCAGCGTGCTGTGAATGGATCACCTTTGCTATTGACGGTTGTGTTGATCTTTGTTGCTTGTTGGCTCCATTGCAACATTCACCGCGGCTCTGTGAATGCTTTGCTTGCAGGCTGTTGCAAGGTCAAAAGAACCTGCTGAGACAGCCATCCCGAAGGCAAGTGGTTCTGAAAAGCTGTTCAACTTCAGAGTTCGCAGCCAACGCCCCACAATCCTCCCTCATCTTGCCGCTTGAATAGGAGAGGAGGCAGTCATCTCAGATGCTCCGTTGCAATTTTCGCTGTGAAAGCCTGGCGTGGTGGGATCTGGCAGCTTTTCCTTCTGCTTAAGCTGGCATTGCTGAGAGAGGGAAGAGGCTGAATAGCCGCAATAGCCAATGGTTGAGTGTCAGAGTAGGGAGTCCTGTGAGTCATGTATTGTGAAGACTGTCTTAGCGCTATACTTTGCGAGAAGGGCACAGAATGTTTCCCCGCACTTTGCCAAGGACGGACATTATCCGTGAGAGGCAGAGTCGCCTCATCTCCCTGTAAATGACTCCTGACTGCACAGGCTTGCTTTTTGGCAGGTCAGAGTTTGAGGATTAGGCCGTTCAGGGCTTTGGGGGCCGGTCAGAGTTTGAAAGCTTGAGAGTGAGACTGGACAAGAAGAGGTTGGCACTGATCCTGTGCAGTTCTGTGGTTCAGAGAAGGCCCCCCTAAAACAGGGGCGGGCAAACGTGCCATCCCCACGAAAGAAGCAAAGAAAGCAAGAAAGAAAGACATAGCAAGAAGAAAGACGAAAGTGAGTTAAATACATGAGTAAATACATAAGAAAAAAGCAAAGAAAGGAAGCCAGGCAGAAATAAGGTGACACCAGGACAGACAAAAGGAAAAAGACAAAGGTATAAAGACACAATGAAATAAAGAACGAAAGAAAGGTAAAGACGGAGAGACATTGCACATAGGATGTAGGCCATTTTCCAGGAGAAACCCCTGCAGGCCATCAGCCTTTACGTTTCTTCCAGGCCCCTCTAAAGAAGCACTGCTACCGAGGCCTGGACAAAAGAGCCAATGTCTCCGCCAAGGTGAGCTGGGAGCTATGCCGCTGGGGCCACTGCACAGATAGATTTCTACCAGTACAGGACTGGCCATTAGAGATTCTGGTCGAGGTGGAAGTCCACATTTTGTAGGTTCCTGTTGCTCCTGTGGGGCTACTCGACAGTGGCCTCTCGCACACCTTTGGCTGTTCTCGTCTCCTGCAGTTCATATTCGATAAATCCTGTTCATCCTCATAGTTTGACCTATGGGGCCTGTGCTGCCCATCGAGTTTCTGCTGCGGAGATGGACTGCTCTCGATCAAGTTGCCGTAGGCCTGGCAGTCATTCCGCTTCTCACCATGAATAGAACAATCGTGGTCAAGGGCACTGGCTTCAGAGAATTCCCAAGCAAATTCTCGACTGAAGCCAGTGCAGTTCTCTCCCTGTAGCTCTGCTCCCAGAGTGCGTGATTTTCAAAGGACTGAGCGCTCTAGTGGAGTCATCCTGCCATGAGATGGCCACAGTACGCCACAGGGTCACAGTACGCCACAGTATGCCACAGTTGTTCCACAAATTGCAGTGAGGATACGTCATGTAAGGCATTATGCGGCAGCACAGTGTTGCATCTCATTGCATGAGGTTCGTACCCTCCCCTCTTACACAGCTTTTCAATCGGGTCCCTCAGCGTCTCAAAGACTGCGGACTGGTGTCCTGCCACATCAAGGTTTGCAGACAACAAAGCATGTTGCCACAGTCTTTATCGAGGCAAAGGGACTATACATGAGCAGTGACCACAGCTCTATGCTGCTTAAGGAATGTTGCCAGGCAAAGCTACCCGTGGCTTCGTTTTCCGGCACAACCTTTGGGTAATCTAAGCACTTAAGCTACAAAAGTCAAGAACGACGAGCTTGTCTGGACTTTCCCAACTTGCAAGACGGGCCGACTTACCATCCTTCTCCGAAAGCCATGGGAGTGTCGTTGACTTGTGCTGGTACGAAGCCACGCAAGATGCGAGGGGTAGCTGAGCAAGCCTTCCCTGCGGGCTAATGATGCAATTTTTGGTGCATGCAGGTCATCCACGTGGAAAAGTGGATCTGTGTAATTGAGATAGTTGTTGGTGATGCAAAGTCCTATGTCCTATGAATCCGAGACCTTCATCCATGGGGACCTTTATCCTGTCTGGCGTCCAAGAGTGCTGCCAGAGGGCAGGATGAGTTGTGTTTAAGGGTTGTGGCAGAGTTCAAGATGTGACGCCATCATGCCATTCATAAATTGGATGCAATGGCATCGGGCAGACCTCTGCGTGCAGACGTTGTGATTCTCATTGTGCTTTGGGGCATGACGCATCTAAGCCAAACTAGTGTTCTCGTGAATAGGTTTACCCGAGCACCTGTGGGCTGGGAATTCAAGGCGCAAGGTTGCACGATGCTGCACGAGTCGTTGTGTCAGGACAGAACCACGAGTGGCGACTGAAATGACATCAGTTATCTAGCTGTTTCACCCCCGAGCGTCGGGGGACCAGAACGAATGGTGCACAAGTCTATGCTAATGGCAGCGCTGGTCTCCACGACGCGCAATCATCGAAGCTTTTTCCACGGCACGCAGTAATATGGCGTTTCATGGGAAAACCCTTGGGCTGAGAGTCTGCCTGAGTTTCCCAGAACTGTCCAATACTGTCCAGAACGGATGTGTTTTTGGTCAGGCCTCGGCAACCTTCTGGAAGCGAACGGTGGCTCCATTCGCAGCGCCTGCATTCTGTTGCAGTGGGGGAGTTTGCAGCACAGTGATTGCTGCTTGAAGCTACTGACAGCTCATGTCTTCCTCTGCAGGGTGACATGTGGCAATGTCAGGGCTCTTACCAGTGCGTGTGACTGTTGCTTTAACTGGGCGATGCGGGCCGGCCGACATGTGACTTCACGCTTGCCTGTCTTCTTGGCCCTCTGCCCTACACCCTCCAATCATTCTACATCCTGCGCCTGTTTCTACCCTCACACAGGAACCATTCTTGCCTATTTCGGGCACATGGCACCAGCCCAACATCTCAGCCCTAGCAACAAGATCTCCTGGGAAGGGCCCTTGTACAGCTATCTAGGCCAAACTAGGTATGGTGGGGTCTGATAGTGGGTTTTAGGTTTGGGGTTGCCCAGGGCCTTAGGCAACTCAGGCCCTAGGCATCCCTAGGCCACAAGCGCCACAAGATCCTGAATCCCTTTCCTTGCCAGGTCGTGGAACGGAAGCCCCGGTGCCGATCCGTGGAAAACTTTCCGGGCTTTGACCCGGCTCGGGACAGGACGGTGATGGACGGTGATGGACGGTGATGGGGTCAAGACTAGGAGATGCCCCGTCCTGGCACTACTCTTGCTTCTCCATGGCTTCGCACACAGCTATACACGGTTGTGCCAAGATAACACGACCTCAGACACAACTCGATGCTGCCACCACATAAGTGCATGGAAACCGCAAAGCAAAAGATCGTGGCGAAGCAGCCGAAGCGACAATGTGGGCCGAAAGAATCGAAAGTGCGTACCCCCAACATGCTATGACGCAGCACTGCGTAGTGCACGATCCGAGCATGAAGCAGGGCACGCACGAACAGCATACTTCCTCTCCTTGAAAGAACGCCGCCCGGACTCCATGACAATGTGGAGCCGGTTGCAGACTGCAGGCGGATCTTCAACAATGAAAGTAAGAGCAACACTAACAGGAAAATGCAGGGTCTGTTACGGACCACGTCAAGAGTACCATTTGCTGTAGCAACTGAAGCAGGAGCACGCGGCAATTCAATCTTGGGCCTTTCAGTCAAACTAGCTGCCGTCCATCGCGCTAGAGCAGCTGGTAGTTCAACCTCAGCCACCAGAGAGAGGCTTCAATGCATCACCAATGTCACGTGAGCCTCAGCTTCGTCCCTTCATGCTTTTTTCTCACGCTTTTGATTCCCCTCTCCCTCCCTCTCTCCTTCCCCTCTTCTTCCCCTCCTCCCCTCTCCAGGAACTACTTCGACTGGCGCCCGGCTACTGGCGACTCGAAGCTGGGCCCTCACGAATTGGGGAGATCGTCCCCGGATCCTCCCAGAACACCCCCTTCACCAAAGAGCGCGAGAGCTCCGCTCTCACTCAATAAAAACAGCCGGCAGCAGACACCGGCAGATGGATATCCTCCTGTTGAGTCGCATCAGTGCGTTTGTTGGGCGTGCTTGCGTCGATCTTCTTGAACCGATGAGGACGTCGAGCAAATCGAGGGTATCTTCAATGGCCCCTCAAAGGGTTGGTCAGGCATGGCAATGTAACATGTGGCAGACTTGAAGTGAGGAATTGACTTGCAGAGCAGTGCTCCTAGTGGCCCGGCTTTGATGGTTGGCCTCATGCAGCATCAGACCCCCTGAGATTGCAGGCGCAGCTTCTGTCCATGGATCGTCCTGGCAGCAGGCCACACTCCGGACCTGGACGGATCTGGGAACTATTGTACCCGGTGATGTGCAGCGACAGTGCAGCGACAGTGTTGAACGCGGGTTTCCTGATCTTTGTCGGCAGGCCGACGACAGGGCAACACTTCTGAAGGTGGTATAAACGGTATAGGCATTGCCAAGAGCAACTTCCTCTGTAGATCGCTCTCGCTCTACGCAACAGGTTACCTGTTGCGCAGCTTTGGAAGGTTCCTCCAGTGAACCCCGTCTGGCTGCTATCACCTTTTTCTACTTCCCCAAGGGCCCGTGCGTTGGCGTTGTGCACGATCCTGACATCGGCCGCAGGCAGCTAATGAATGGGAACGGATTTGCCCTTAAGGCACCATGCTACAGCCGCCGATGTTGCGATCTTGCTGCCAAGCTGGGTGAAACCAGTCTGATGGATTCGCTGACAGTGTGTTCACTGCTTTTCCTGAGCTTGCTCATTGCATATGAGACGAGCTCTGCCAGCATGGACACTCTATTTAGTAGCCGAGCCGTCCGTGTCCCCACAAATCGTGGACGTGTCGCGGAGTGCAGATGCATGATTTCATGATTGCCAGAAAAGTGCTGCGGACCCTGTTGCTCAGGCCTGCTCCAGCAGCTCCTGGCAGCAGTTAGGTTCTCGGTTTGGCGATGTTCGCCGTTGCGCCGTTACCCTTGGCTCTAGCAAGTAGTAGCTGCTGCCAAACTCAACGGAGGGTGAGCCAGGCACTAAGAAAATAGTAGCCATCGAGCCACGAAGGGCATAGAGTAGAGCGAATGCAGCAGGAAGCACGTTTCGAAGTCCCAGGTTCGAGAGCCCCTTCCGCGAAAATGATCGGAATGAAGAGCCAGGACGCTGCCGTCGCTCAGTGCTTCGCTCGTAGCAAGCTGCAGCTATCTCCCAGGATTGGCCAACAATTCATCAGCTTGGGGCCTTAGTTGGCAGCAAATTCTGCCGCGTGCGATGTGTTGCTGCAGTTGCCGTGGACGTGCAACTCATCTTGAACCTCATCACCCTGAGAACATGTTCAAGCTGAGAACGGTGCAAGGTCGCCTGAGATGCAGGCGTTGCGTGACTATGTCACTGCTGCTGATGGCAGCAGGTACGCCAACCAGGCCTGCACGACAAGCCCATGTCGAATGTTGCCAGCCGGCCCCAGACTTCATTTGCCAGGCAGCATCAACCCTGCGTCTGGATGTCACTCATTCGAACCTCATGCAGCGATGGCATGACCTGGTTTTTGATTCCGGCATGACAGCAGGGGGCCCTGGCTGCAGCAGCACATAGCAACACAGCTCTGGAGCTTTCAGTGTCTGAGTGTGAGGTGAGCAGAGTCAAGGAGAAGCCGGTCACTTAAAACCTGAAGACAGGCTGCGGCCCCCTCCCGAAACCTGCAACTTTCACGACCTCAGGCTCTACTCGCACGGCGGAACACCGGCTGCAGACCAGGCGTCTGTCTGGGGCAGAACCTCATTTTCCGGCCTAAGGCTCTAGATGCTCTGCCCCAGCGCATTACATCCTCAATACATTCCGGGGCATTTCGGGGGCTCTGCCTCGGTGCAGAACGCACATGAAAGCACAATTCACAATGCATCACGAACTTGAAGCCTCCGAAATGTCCTCCAACTCCTCCTGAGCGCAGGAGTTGTACCTGCGGCGAGGCGGTGGGGATACCCTCTTTCTCTGGGACGCTGCTTGGGTTATCACAAGTTTGTGGACTTCTGCAGTTCGTTCTGCGGCCTCCGAAGCTCACGAAGCTCAGCTCACGAAGCCCAGGAGCGCAAGACGCTGGCGGACTATGGCGTTAAGACCCCCGCCTTGAAACGTGCAACGATAGATATCCTAATGGATTCCCTGTTTCTGTGAAGGGCGGGTTTCTGGGGGTGCGAGCACTAGCTTCAGATAAGGAATGGCATGGAGATCCACATCAAGGACGCGGCGCTGTGAAGCGTTGCGCATCAGATTGAACACCAGCCTGTTCTACCTTGTTGGGTTCGTGCCCGACGGACAAGGACACCAATCCATACTCGCTCTCTGCGAATGGAGGCCTTGAAGATGTGAGCCAAGTGGAGAAATACGTCATGCCGGACGAGGACTGCAGCTTGCCCACGCGACTTTGGTTTGAGGACGTTCGAGTGACTGCCCAATACTGTACAAGCAGGCCTATGACAAGCTGGAGAACAGCGTCCGTGCCATCAAGCGCAGGGAAAAGGAAAAGGCACCAGACGGGAATTGTGTGTCGTGTAGTGGAGACGTGCTTGGGAGGTTGCAACAAACCAATGTACGGCAACGGCACCATGCAGTTCTTTGTTTGGAAAAAAAACCTTCCGTACTAGCAAGGCAGAGGCCGAGCTCGCTGCCAGAATAGCAGCGGGCGAGGTTCGTGCCTCAGGTTTTGGCTATGACATTGCAATGCGGCCTTTATCCTGTGTCGTTTCCAGGTCTCCAGGGGCCGGGGAGGACCGTAGCAGTAACATGCAACAACAAGCTGCATCCAAAAAGGCTATGTCCTCAGGGCTGCAATGTTGCACCCGTCTTAGTATCGCTACCCGCTACTAAGGACAGTTCCGGGAAAAATATCGGGGAGATGCCTCTATTGACAATGGTTACCCGAAATTGTGCGAAGTTCGCTGCCCGGAAATGACGGGGGGCCCAGGGAGCCAATAACTAGGAATAGTTTTCCTTGGAAGCTTAGACCCTCAAGCTTCAAGGTTGGCGCGATTCCAACTTCAAACTCCGGAATTTCTGGAGTCCATCTTTATATAAATTCATGTTAAATTTCGTCACAAAACAGCCCCCCCTATAATGTGCCCGCGTGTTCGTTCATCTTTTCCTTCACACTATTAGTACTGTAAATTAGCACTATTATTAGCATTATCCCCGCGCGTACAAGATTAATAATGCAAATATTGCGCGGAATACAATACTACTATTAATATTGAGCCCTTATTGAATACATGTTAACGTGTCTCACTACGTTCTCGCATTCGTTTTGTTTCTTCGTTCCTATATAATCACTCATAAACTTACTCATTTGTTCACACGGACCAAACAATTGTTCAAGGGAGTAGTCCACGAGCTGCCCTCATGCGCTTTAGTATATTGTTGCGGTTGCCTGCAAAATCCGCAGACCTTCTGGCCAGGCAGCCAAAAACTAGACCCCCAAGCTTCAAGGCTTCCTTTCAATTTTCGCGTTTATAGAGGGTGAGCAAAGACCCCGAACTTGTGGGGGAGGGGGGGGGGGCCCTAGACACTAAAGCGAGTGCAACAATACCCCAGCATCGGTCAAGATTTCATCACAAGGCGTGGTCTGCGCCGGTCCGAAAGCAGCTTAGGTGATAGAAGAGGAGCCTGCAGAGAGCACAGAGCAGGCTGCCACCTCGTCATAAATCTTTTAAGCTTCTTTGCACAAAACCAGGCGAGTTTAGACACGCAGAATATAGAGCCAGGTCTCCGAGCGAATACCAATGGGAAGCCGCTGCCAGGACCGGCGAGTTCGAGCTTTGCTAGTTGCGGTCAGGCTTTAAAGATGGCACTCGGACCCTCAAACCCTACAGGCATGTGAGCTCGAGAAGCCCCCCCCGCAACCTAATCCCTGAACCTTGCAAGGGAGCGTGGTCAATCGCCAACAAAGACATGCAAGCGGAAAATACCAACTGGAGGTTACCTTCCTGTAACTCTCTGGCCTCTCTTTATTTGCTTTTTAGGAGAGTGAGGAATGGGTTATATAACTGCCAGTGTGAGGGCTATAGGGAGATGCTTTGGCTTTGCAGAGGCGTTTTCGTTGGGGATTCTTGCTGTGGCTTGAACGTCCTCTCGCCTGTACCCTAAACTCAAGGCTTAAAAGGCTTGAGCCCTTTTGTCGACTTCGATGACATAGGCCTTTCTTTTTTGGGGTGGCTTGGCAGGTGCAACCTGGAGGCCGCCGCGGTGAAGTCGCGTTTGTCGGCGCGGTGAGGGGCGTCAAGGCCGGGGACCCCCTCGAAATTCCCCTTCCCCCCTGGAAGCCAGTCTCCGAAACTTTTCGTTGCATGCCTGAGATTTGAGTGCCCTGGGAACCCTAACCCCGAGCCTGCAATGTCAAATCCTTCAGCCATTCTGCAAAGCTCTCTGCGAGCTTAGGGCGTGTGGATCGGCATTCGCCTGGACGAGCCGCAAGGCAAGGCTCCAGAGCTTTTTGGGGTGATTTTGCGGGTCGACAGCTCGAAGAACCTCGAAGAACCCCCAGGCGGTACGAGGTCCAGCTCGCCCGATTTCCCAAGTTCTGCTTGATGATACGGAGAGATCTGTAGGGTATAGGATGGTGCAGGCTGCTCTTGCTACCGAAATCACTACCTCTCGTGTCCCAGTTCCATGGCTGCAGTGCCAGGCAACAACGATGGCTCCAAGGAGGGCGAGCGATACTTCAACTGCAAAGGTGAGAAGTATGGTTGTTTTGCGCGGCCCGAGAATGAGCCTTGGCAGAAGAGCTTGGGAACAGCTGTTTTCTCGAATTCTGGGACACTCACGAACTGATCATGGGCTGCCAATCTAGGTCGAAGTTGGCGATTTTCCGGAGCTGGACCCATTCGCCTCTGATGAAGAGTTCTGAAGGAATTCTGACACCCAGACTGCGCCAAGAGGACGCGCAGCAGGAATTCGGCAGCTTCGACCTGCAGATGAAACATGGGCCTCGAAGTTAGGGACTGCGCCCACGGCAGGGTACTTGACAGGCCTTGCAAGAGGTGCAGCTGAGATCGACTTGACTAAGAAGGTAGACAGCTGTAAGCTTGATTCACTCTTGCCACCCTTGCATGTTGTTTTTTTGGAGAACAATCCAAATATGCTTTTTGAGCTCCAAGGGTGCTCCATGCGCAAGTGGGGTCAAATTCCGGTAGATCTGATGCAACAATGCCGAGCTGCTACGATCCCATCTTTATCTCAGCCGCAGTGTATCCATCCATGTCGGTGTATGAGTCGAAGTCTGTGGATTGGTTTCATGTTTTGGAAGACATGGTGTGTCCCAGTCCAGCTGGACTGCCCCCTCCTCGGATTCGGGTCTCCTGGCGGGTGGTTTGCGAGGTGCTTCAGGTGAGGTTGCTTGGCCACGCCATGTAGACAATGTGAGAACCACTGCTGCTCTGCCTGACGTGAGCAGTTCACCAGCACGACCACAGGCCCATAGGCCTTGGGACCTGGTCAAGGCATGGATTGTGGCCCAGAGCTCCGAAGGCCCGTAAAGGCCCTAAACAAGTTCTAGACCTGATAAGACCCCGTTAAAGGTTTAGAGGGTTTGACATCTTCTCGTGCTTTGTTCTTAGTTGGGTATTTGCAACTTTGCAACAGTGCCTTGCCATTGTGCAGTTTGGATGCCACCCTCCACCAGCCCACCCACCCCCATCCATGCATGCAGCAACACCCGACGAAAGACTGTGAGCCTTCGCAGCAATTGGCTGAAAAACGACATTGGCAGCATCTTGGGTGTAGGATCCAACTACCCCGTCTCTTGGTAAAATGTTACTTGCTGACGGGACATCTGCTCAGCTGTTCAGCAATCGTCAGACTCTTCGGGCCACAGAGATTTCTGCACGTTGTCTGTTTGTGTTCTTGTTTTTTTTTTTTCTCTCTCTCTCTCTCTCTCTCTCTCTCTCTCCCTCTCTCCCTCCCTCCCTCTCTCCCTCCCTCCCTCCCTCCCCCCCCGCTCTCTCTCTCTCTCTCTCTCTCTTTCCCTCTCTCAGTGGCCGAGGTCTCCTGTACATGCGTTCTCCGGCGAACGGCACGCGCGGCAAAGCTTGCCTGTGCAACACTGCGCTGCTCGTTCGTGCGAAAAAAGTCGTGCGCCACATGCGCGCAGCATCAGGTTGTATTAAGTTGTATTAAGGTTGTATTGTTACAGTAGTACGCTTTTTCCCAAAAACATCTAGAATGTTGGGTTCTCGTTTAGGTTCAAAACGCGAGAGAGCGATACCGGTGAATGGCGGCGCGGGGTGAAAGCGAAACGGGGATGAAAACGAAGCGGGGATAAGAACGAAACTGGTGATCAGAGCCGCGGGGTGAAAACGAAAGGGGATGGCGTGGGGATTTCAAGGGCCGGATGGGAACGAAACGGGTGAAAACGAAACGGGGATGGCGCGGGGATCACGACGGCTGGACGAAAACCTAACGGGGTTGAAACGAAACGTGGATGAAGATGAAACGGGCATGGCAGGGATCACAACGAACGGAGTGAAAACGAAACCGGGTTGCGCCTGCGGGGATGAAAACGAAACGGGGATGAAAGCGAAGCGGGGATGAAAACGATATGAAAACGCAACCGGGAGGGATAATCCCATGAGTTTCGTTGAATGTATTGCGGACTGCGGCGCGTACTGCGGAAAGCTGAGGGATTTTCGTTGAATTGTAGTACAAATGTAGTCAGAGCCGGAGGGGCGCGAGAGCGGACTGCGGCGCGTATGACGGTGCGTATGACGGCGCGTATGACGGCGCGTACGGCAGCACGGGAAGCTGAAGGATTTTCGTTGACTTGTAGTACAAATGTATAGTACTCGGAGGACAGAGCCGGGGGGCGCGAGAGCGGACTGCGGCACGTATGACGGCGCGTATTTCGAACGTTGAAGTATAGTACAAATGTAGTACTGGGAGGACAGAGCCGGAGGAGCGCGAGAGCGGACTGCGGCGTGTACGACTGCGTGTACGGCGGCGCGGGAAGCTGACGGATTTTCGTTGAATTGACTTGTAGTACAAATGTAGATCTGGGAGGACGGACTGCGGCGCGTGCGACGGCGCGTACGGCGGCGCGGGAAGCTGAGGGATATTCGTTGAATTGTAGTACAAATGTAGTACTGGGAGGACAGAGCCGGAGGGGCGCGAGAGCGGACTGCGGCGCGTACGGCGGCGCGGGAAGCTGAGAGATATTCGTTGAATTGTAGTACAAATGTAGTACTGGCAGCACAGAGCCGGAGGGGCGCGAAAGCGGATTGTGGCGGCGCGGGAAGATTTTCGTTGAATTGTAGTACATGCATTAAATGTAGTACTGGGAGGACAAAGCCGGAGGGGCGCGAGAGCGGACTGCGGCGCGTACGACGGCGCGTACGGCGGCGCGGGGAGCTGAGGGATATCGGATATTCGTTGAATTGTAGTGCACATGTAGTACTGGGAGGACAGAGCCGGAGGGGCGTGAGAGCGGACTGCGGCGCGTACGACGGCGCGTACGGCGGCGCGCGGGGAAGCTGACGGATTTTCGTTGAAGAATTGTAGTGCCAATGTAGTGTTGGGAGGCGCAGGAAGCTGAGGGATATTCGTTGAATTGTAGTACAAATGTAGTACTGGGAGGACAGAGCCAGAGGGGCGCGAGAGCGGACTGCTTTATTCATTTATTTATTTATTTGTTTATTTATTTATTTATTTCTTTATTTATTTATTTATTTATTTATTTAATTATTTATTTATTTATTTATTTATTTATTTATTTATTATTTCTGTATTTATTTACTTGCGAATTCATATATTGTCCATGTTTCTGATATCCTTTATTTTAAGGATCTGGGATCCAAAATGGAGGGCCTATTTTTTGGGGTCTTTTTTTTTTGGGGGGGCATTTTTTTTTTTGGTCGATTTTCTTGGTTTTTCCTAAGAAAACCACCATTCCCTCCATATTTTTAAAGGATTTGATGCATTTTCGTGGTTTTTCGTACGAAAAACAGTAATTTCTCTGTGGTTTCATAGGAAAGCGTTATTTCTGGTAGGTTTTAGAAGGAAAGAAGGAAAGAAAGGAAGGAAGGAAGGAAGGATGAAAGAAAGGAAGAAAACAAGGAAGGAAGGAAGGAAGGAAGAAAGGAGGGAAGGAAGAAAGGAAGGAAGCAAGGAAGGAAGAAAGGAAGGAAGAAAGGAAGGAAGCAAGGAAGGAAGAAAGGAAGCGTGCTTCGAAGCCCAAGAAACTAGTTGAAAAACATCGTGTGAGCATTGTGTTTGCAAATGGGGGGGGCTGCGCCCCCCCCAACCCCCCCGCTTTTTTTGTTTTTTTTTAAGCCGTGCAGAGCGTGCGTGCTTCAAAGCCCAAGAAACTTGTTGACACCCATCATGTGAGCATGGTGTTTGCAAATGGGGGGGGGCTGCGCCCCCCCCAACCCCCCCCGCTTCTTTTAAGCCGTACCAAGCGTGCTTCAAAGCCCAAGAAACTAGTTGAAAAACATCGTGTGTGCATTGTGTTTGCAAATGGGGGGGGCTGCGCCCCCCCCCAGCCCCCCGCTTTTTTTAAGCCGTGCAGAGCTTCAAAGCCCAAGAAACTTGTTGACACCCATCATGTGAGCAGGGTGTTTGCAAATGGGGGGCGCAGACCCCCCAACCCCCCCCGCTTCTTTTAAGCCGTTCAAAGCCCAAGAAACTAGTTGAAAAACATCGTGTGAGCATTGTGTTTGCAAATGGGGGGGGCTGCGTCCCCCCCAGCCCCCCCGCTTTTTTTGCAGAGCACGCTTCAAAGCCCAAGAAACTTGTTGACACCCATCATGTGAGCAGGGTGTTTGCAAATGGGGGGGGGGCTGCGCCCCCCCCCCAACCCCACCCCGCTTCTTTTAAGCCGTACCAAGCGTGCTTCAAAGCCCGAGAAACTAATTGAAAAAAAAGTATGAATCCGATGAAAATATAGCTTCTTTTAAGAAACCCAAGCGTGCTTCAAATAGGGTTTTCCATAGGAAAACTAAGGAAAAGCAACGTACGCTTTGACGTTTGACGAAATCCGTTTTCCCCCTAGGAAAAACCAAGGAAAACCTAATGGAAATTACAGGAAATCCGTCCAAAATGTAAAAAAAAACATAGGTTTTTCCCTATGAAAAACCAACGAAAACCTAAGGGAAATGACAGAAAATCCGTCCAAAATGTAAGGAAAGTAGGTTTTCCTAGAGAAAACCAAGAAAATCGACCAAAAAAAAAAAGAAAGGCCCAAAAAAAAAAAAAAAGACCCAAAAAAAAACTCCACCCTTTCTGAAGTATGGACGTTTGGGGCCCTTTAGGTCTTTTAAGACAAGGCATACCAGGGCTCCAAGCACATGAAGAGCTCCAGAAGTAATGGCCCAAATTCAGAAACCCTAAGACCTAAATCCCTAACCAGCCTTTCAAACTCTGAGCCCCGAATCCTAAACCCTGTTAAAAAGTGAGGTTGGTGTCGCGCCGAGCTTTGGTGTCACTTGCTGTCCAACAAGAACCTTGGCTAACCAACGAGGTTGTGAGGGTGCTTTTCCGGAAGTTCAGGGTTTAAGGATTCAGTCTTTAAGGACTTAGCTCAAAACCCTAAGCACTGAACCCTAAACTCTAAACTCTAAACCCTAAACCCTAAACCCTAAACACTAAACCCTAAACCCTAAACCCTTTAGGGTTCAAGGGGTGGGTGCGGACTCTGGGCTTCTGAGGAGATGAGGCTTTGTTATTCAGCGGCCTGTGGAACCAACCCTAAGCACTAAACCCCAAACCCTGTAGAACTGAGGTTTAGGGTTAGGGTTTAGGGTTTAGGGTTTAGGGTTTAGGGTTTAGGGTTTAGGGTTTAGGGTTTAGGGTTTAGGGTTTAGGGTTTAGGGTTTAGAGGTATGATGAACCGTACCCTGAGCGCTCCTTCTGCAG